CTGCTACAGGCTTGTGGCAGAAAGACTGGAAAGCTACTCAGCCAAAAAAGACCTAGGGGTCAACAGCAGATCCTGACCTGGGACATTGAGGGGTGTGGAGTGTGTCCAGAGAAGGGCAATGGAGCTGATGAAGGGTCTGGAGAACAGGTCCTGTGAGGACAGCTGAAGGAGCTGGAAGTGTTTAGCCTGGAGAAAAAGGAGAAAAGGCTGTTCAGGAGTGACCTTATCCCTCTCTTTAAACTACCTGAGAGTGTAGCAGGTCAGCGGTTTCTCCCAGGCAATGAGCAACTGGAGAGCAACACATAGCCTCAAGATGGGCTAGGGAAGGTGCAGGTTAGACATGAGAAAGAATTTTGTCACTGAAAGACTGGTTAAGCATTGAAACAAGCTAACCAGGGAGGTGGTGGTGTCGCCATCCCAGGAAATGTTCAATAAAAGACTAGACATGCAATCTGGGACTATGGTTAAGTTGACATGGTGGTGATTAGTCAGAGGTTGGACTTACAGGTCTTTTTCAATTTTAATAATTTAATTATTTGTAGGAAATTCAGTCTTAGGAATATACCTTTTAATGGGGCAATCCATGGACTTAGAAAAGGTAACAAATATATACCAATCTACACACCGTGTGGAAACGGAAGGACATCAGAAGTGTTGTGAGCTAAAAAAGTAAGTTTCTAAGTTTACATAAACCATGTTGTGTTCATTTAGTATTGTTGGCAAGGCAATACAAGCAACAAACTGAGTCACAGATTACTGACATTTATGCGGAGACACTGGTTTTCAGACAAAGATAGGCTCCTCAGTCCTGCATTTTTACAGGCTACTAAAAAAGTATCTACTACTAACTACATTGTACAACATGACTTACGGGATCGGACCATACAACTAAAATAATCACAAAAAAATTTAAAATATAATGCTTAGCCCCTCTGGAAGCAGGAAAGGGTTGTAAAACATTAAACAAACTGCCCAAGAAAGTGGTGGAGTCTCCCCCTCTGGAAGTGTTCAAAAAAGTGTGTGGATATGGCACTTGAGGAGGTGGTGTAATGGTGAACACGGTGGTGGTGCTGAGTTGGTGGCTGGACTCAAAGGACTTTTCCAACCTTAAAAATTCTCTGATTCGATGGTAAGAGCAAGGAGAATAAGGAAAAGCTCTTCAAAATAACTTAGCGGGTAGCAACATATAAGCATCTCTGGATCGCATCCTGTTCCCTGTAATTATCAACTAGATTATTATTATTTCCTATTAAAACTTAACCTCTACTAGTTAAATCTGCCTTGCCTGTTGCTATATGATTTTACTGAACAGATCCAGTCAGTTCCAGATAATGAAGCTATCAACTCTCCATCACTCTTAAAAACAATCACTCCTTCATTTGGAAGCCAACACTTGCCTACATGCGCACTGGAGAATTTGGTTTTGACTCTTTATCTCTAATGTATCATATCAGTTAGAATACTTATTTTGAGATGATCTTTTGTGCTCTGTAATGCATGTTTTCAGAGCATAAAAATGCATTTTTGTTCAACGTCACATCTGTGCTTCAATAAGCTTCTTTAGCCTTTGTAATACTACAAATGCAATAGCACATCAATACTCTTCACAGAGAATTCAGAATGTATAGATTTAGTGGATATTTTCATCTAAGTTTCTGGGGACTGGGGGTGGGAAGGAGTGGGCACTTTTTCAGAGCATGAAGAGGACAAGTTTCTAAAGTGATGCACTGTTTCACAGGTTCATACCAAGTCAGCCACGTTTTTCCATATGCCTACTGACAATCACATTAATTTATACATGCAGAATGTTAACATAATCCCCCCTCCATGACCCAACCAACACCAAGAGTGAATCTCATCTGTTTCAGTCTATCAAGAACCTCCATACTCGCAGTGTAAAAAAAAAATTAAATGTGTATAATTTTCAGCCTACCTGAAGATCACCTTCTTTCTATTTATGAAGGTATTTGCATACTTTGAGATTTCTCACTTTCCCTTTTCTCCCTGCACCAATTGCTTTCATTAAGAAGGACATCTAAAGCAATGGTAAGTTCCTGAAAAATCAGCAGTACTTTAAGCAAGGTAAAAGGTAAAGAATAATCTTCAGAAACAAGTATGAGATACCTCCTTCTTGGGACAAGGCTATAAAGATATCCTGCAGCAGATGACCATTTCCACAATGGACTAAGGACACCTATTGAGGGAGAGGACAGATCTCTGCTATTTAGAAAATTATAAACAATTGTAATTTTGTACAAACAGGTCAATAAGTAATTCTACACACTTCAAATTATTTAGAGCAAACAAAACAGATTTATCTCTTAAATCTGATTTTTATTTCACACAGTACTTGAAAGACTGGAAACGCCTTTTTGGTTATGCCAGTAAAAATTTCTTTTACAGGATTTTTTTTTAAGCCAAATAGTAGAGGACAAGTTTGCTCACTTCTTCTCTTAAGCATCCCTAAAAAATTCATAATGCTTTAGTATGAGTTTTTGCAGTATAAAAATAGACACTCTGAGTTACAAACTCATACAAAATACATCAGTACTTTCAAAATTAATGTAACATCATTTCGGAAAGACAAAAATAGCAATCACTCAAATGACTGCACCCTAAACTGTCACATGGTTAGCTGAAGTTTTCTTAAACAAAGCAGCCTATTTAAGTCAAGTATATGATGACATGTTCTAACTGTATTACAGGAACAAAGGTACTCCATAATTAATACTGAAGCAAGTTCCTCACAATACTTGATCTACTCCCACTTCACCAAGAAAGAAGCACAAAACATGCATTGCACATAACCAGCAAGTATTATATGAAGGTTGCTTTTTTCTTCTGTCTTGCTTAACATTGTGGACTACTTTGTGGTGTAGTGGACTAAGGAAACAAGGGATACTTTTGTAATAAACTCCAAGGCATTTTAAATACTAGGGATTTTGGTAAACTATCCCCATAAAAAAATAATTGTGTGCATAATCTAAAAATAAATAAAATAAATAAAAACTGATTTTACTTCTCTGGATTTTCCCATGTGCTTATCACATGTACAGAAGTTAGATCAGCCCTTCACAGCATTTTGTTGAGGCACTTCATTGTATAATTTCAGGTTGAAGTGCTTTGATCTCACCTTGGAGGTTACTGCAGTGAACATGTATTACCTTTTTTAACTGCTATGGTCATTTCACACACACACAGAACCAACCTGCTGTTCATTTTTGATGCTTGGTATTTTTGTCAAGGGAAGTGATAATTGCTTATATTTATTTAGGCTGAATTCATTGCCATATTACTTCACAAAAGTCAGCTTATCATTTCAACCATAAAGTCTGCACAGAAACACAAACAGGTATTTGCTAATGGAATACTCTGAGAAACTTCAAACCTCTTCAGAAAGTAATTTTTGTTAAAAATCGTGGTTTTAAAAAAACATATTTTCATAGTGAAATTATTATTAGGGACTACAGCCCTTCTGTCCTGAAACTAAAAATAGAATTCCCCTGAAAATCAACTACAGAAGAGAGTGGTGGTCAAGCTATCACTATATTCTGTATTAAAGACAGGTAGTTTTCACAGACAGATGTTTTAACCAACATCAGGTTCAATAATAATGATCTATTCTTTTAACCATAACATTGGGATCATTAGAAGATGTCTGCTATATTGTTGTATATCACCCCTGGAATTCCATATAAGTACAGCACAGCTGTGAGCCATCAGACATTTCAACAGCCATTAAACTAAAGATAATTTATTCTTTCAGATAAAGTAGGTTGCTGTCATTGGTTTAGCAGGAGCTCTGACTGAAATTTCTCTTCTTGCTTCCCACCAAGCACAAATGCTCTGTATTTTGCAGGTTGAATAGAACGGATGATAGATAAAGTTAGTGCTTTTATTTTAATCTGGAACTTTTTCCCCAAAACCTTGGACATAAAATCTACTTAAGATACCCTCTACTAGGTCATTAAAGCATATTAGCCACTGTCTTTTACGTTGGTGATCTTGGTCTGAAACTGCAAGCATTCAGTCATACTAAAACCGTAGCTCCCTAGGACATCATCTCACGTCACCTGGCTTCCCTCTCAAGAGAGATAATCAGCACATCTCCGTAGACCCTGTACAGAACACAGAGTTACGTACTCTCTGGCACATGACGTTCATTAAAACGCAGTGCGAAAGGAAGGGGAGACAACGTCTGACAGAGGACAAAAGAAACCTGCTTCGAGTGTGCTTTCAGTTCAGCCGCCGCCCGCTCAGCGCACGGCGCCAGCGCCGCACCCGGGCCCGGGCGGGCAGCGGCAGCGCCGGCCTGCGGGCTCGCCCGGGAACGCAGGGGCCGCGCCGGCAGCGATTCAGAGTCACAGAAAGGGTCAGGCTATAAGAGACAAGGCCATTTGTCCAACCTGTCCGCTCAAGCAGAATCATCCAGGAGCATGTGGCACAGACTTGTGTCTATACAGTTCTTGAGTATCTCCCGCGAGGGAGACTCCACAACCTCTCTGGGCAATCTGTTCCAGAGCTCGGTCACCTGCACCTGTAAAGTTCTTCCTCGTGGAAGTTCTTCAGGTGGAACTTCCTGTGCATGAGTTTGTGCCCACTGCCTTTTGTCCTATTGCTGGGCGCCACTGAGAAAAACCTGTCTCCGTCCTGTCGACACGCGCTTTTTAGGCGTTCGCAACAGACCTGGAGACAGCCTCAGCTCCTGCTGCGCGGCAGCGCCCCGCAGCCCCCGCACCGTCCGCCCAGCCCCTGCTCGCCCTGTCCCCACCCCCTCACGGGAGCCTCATGGCGCCTGAGCCTGCACCGCGCTGGGCGGAGCTGCCGCAGGTCCGCCCGCCCCGGCCCGCGTTCCTCGCGGGCGCAGCGGGTGCCGAGCGCCGCCGCCCCGGCCTCTCTCGCCCCGCCTCGCCGCTCACGGTAAGCCGCGGTCGCGGACGAGGTGGGGCGGCGGAGCTTCTTGTGTGCGGCTGCGCCGGGCGCTCAGGCCGGGGCCGCGGGCTGGTGGCGGCAGCGGCAGCAGCAGCAGCGGGTCTGCGCGTGTGCGGCGGCGGCCTAGCCAGGAGCGGCGGGCGGGCGGTGGCGTGGGACGTAGCGGTGAGGCCCGGGGAGGGTGCGGGGAGAAGGGCGCAGGTAGAGCCCGCAGGCAGAGCCCGCAGGGGCACCGAGGGAGGGACGGAGGAAGGGGGAGCCCGCGGCGGCGCTGCTGCCCCGCAGCGGGGCGGGCGGCGTGCTGGCTCCTCCTCTGCGGCGGGGCGGAGGAGCCGTGCGGGCAGGCGGCGGTGCCCGTCGTCCCCGGGAGGCTGCGCGGGGCCCGCTGAGCAGCGCCGGAGTTGAGGTGACCTGTGGGAAGAGGAGAGCCCGAAGGGCCTGGTTGTCCCAGGATGCAAGGGAGAATTTAATTTATTTCAACAGATTTCTCACGTACTTCCTCATCACAGCCCACTGAGCCTGGCAGTCCCTGCGGTCGCTAGAGAACTGGTGGCAGCCTGACGGCCCCCGATGGGCAGTAAACCTGGCTCGGCCGAGGGGAGACCCCCGGGCTGCTGCTCAAAAGCCATTTTATCCTCCCCTTTGTTTTTGTTAATTCCCGATGCCCTGGAGGTCCTCTGCCACTGGGGCCTTTGTTTGAAGCTTCCGTGGCGGCTGTGGTTAAGCTGCTCAGGGCTTGCCGGGCTCGCAGCTGTCTCTTGCGGTAGCTCCGTCAGCAGAGGGGAGTTCAGCGTTGCTGGTACCTCACGGGCAGGCTGACTGTGGAAGCGTGGAGTCCTCAGGGCTGCCCGCGTGTCGGGAGGTTGCGAAAGAACAAAACCAGTTCGAAGGAGCTGGTCGGTGGAGTTTAAAATTTATAATCCAGTCTGAACTTGCTTAACTTAAGTGCTGCAATCTTGATACTGCTTTCTGCTGAGGAAATCGTAGGAAGTAAGTCTTTTTTCAGTTTTACAGTACCATCTTTTCATTTCTGTTGCAGAGCAGTAGGAGGACGTATAGTCTAACAGTGTAAAAGAACAGATAGAAAATTGTGATGTCTGCATCTGTTGTTATGCTTCTGATTTTATTTCCAATTGACAATAGACACCTTAGTATGGGTCTGAACAGCTGATGTTCTGATGTCCCTAGTTTTTGAGGTTTCACAGTGTATAAGCTACTTGTAAAGAAATTACGCATAAAAAAAGCTTTTTCTTAAAGAGTTGTTTTTAATAAGGGTTTTTCTGTTGGTCTTGTATAACAGTAGTTGTTTAAATAAAATGTTAATTCATTTCCCATTCTCACCTGATTATTGAAAAGAAAAAAATTATTCCCACAAAGCACCTTCTCTGATTTGTGCAAATATGTGGTGTCTCTGACAGGAATTTAAAGGTGCAGCATCATGGTTATGAAAGCTACACTAGAAGATGATGATTCCGGATGGGAACTCGGTATGCCTGACAAGATGGAAAAGAGTAATACCAGCTGGATAGATATAACCCAGGATTTTGAAGAAGCTTGTAGAGGTGAGTTGTAGTCCTTTCATTCTGAGAAAACTTAGAATCCTTTGGAGGCCTGCGTGTAGTTCTTTGAGCTTTTTTGAGCAATAGTTTGACCTAGGTTCAAGCTTCAGATGAACAAGCATTGATTCCTTCTTATCTATGAGGTTGGAATTGTCATGAACCACCTCACTTTGTTTTCTCTTCCAGATTACATAAATACCTCTTTAATTAAAGTTTTTTCATCTTATGCATTTTCACATCTGCTTTTTTTCCTTTGTGAAGATTTCTTACTCTCTCTTCTGCCAAGTGGAGATGTCATTCCTGCATGCAGAGTCAACACTGTTTCTTTCTTGCATATTTTTGGATCTCCATGGTCCAGTAATTTATTTAATTCATCAGTGCATGATTTTTCATCTTTGAAACAAGTCTGAGTTTTTCAATTGATGCAGTGCATCTCAGTAATGGGGAAGCAGTTGCTTACATTTAAACAGTACCTTTATTACTGTCAGGTGCTACTGCTAGTTTACAGTTTTTTCAACTGATTTTATGATGACACTAAGGAAGGATAAGCATAAAAACTGCATCTTACCACAGAATATTACAGAATATTACATAATGATAAACACAATTTCTGCATATTATTTCTCTATATTACTCTAAATTACTTATAAATAATTATTTCTCTATATTAATTGTATCTGTAATAGTTTACTTACATCTGTACCCATCAAATATATCTAGAGACTCCTTTAAAAGTTATGAGGGAAAGCAAGCCTTTGAGTAGTCTCCCCTGGAAAAGACTAAGACACCTGAATAAAGGAGCAGAGGAAACGGCTGTATTCCAGGCTATTCAGATGCTAATATTTCACAGAATAATCATCACAGAATGATTTGTGTTGGAAGGGACCTTAAAGATCCTCTCATTCCAACTCCCCTCGCATGGACGGGGACACCTCTCACCAGACTGTGTTGCTCAAAGCCCCATTCAGCCTGGCCTTGAACAGTGACAGGGATGGGGGATCCACAGCTTCTCTGGGCAACCTGTTCCAGTGACTGACCACCCACATAGTAAAGAATTCTTCCCAGTATCTAATCTAAATCTGTGTTTTAGTTTAACAGTATTTCCCCTTGTCCTGTCAGTACATGTCCTTGTAAAAAGTCAGTCGCCAGATGTTTTCTGGCCTTCCTTTATCAACTGGAAGGGTGCTAGCTGGTCCCCATAGACCTTTTTCTTCTCCAGGCTGAACAGCCCAAACTCTTTCAGCCTGTCTTCACAGGAAGGGTGCTGTAGCCTTCCATTCATTTTTGTTAGCCTCTTCTGAACTTGCACCAACAGATCCATGTCCTTCCTGTGCTGGAACCCCAGACAGACTCAGTGTTCCAACTGGAGTCCCATTAGAGCAGAGGGGCAGAATCCCCTCCCTTGACCTGCAGTCCAGTATATCAGCTTTTTGTGCTATGAGTGCACTGTGTACTTAGTAATTCTAAAACTGTTTTAATTTCTAGAATAACAGGGGGATGGGGGCACGCTGTTGACCACTGGGGTGTTTTTTTTAGTCTTTCAGTCTTGAAAGTGCTCAGTAAGTAAAAGCAGTAGTGTCATGGGTTGACCTGGGCCAGATGCCAGGCACACACCAAAGCCACTTACTCCCCTCTGCAGCTGAACAGAGGAGAGAAAATTTAATGAAGGGTCATGGGTTGAGATAAGGACTGAGAGGGATCACTCACCAAATATCATCATGGGAAAAACAGGCTCAACTTAGACATATGAAGGGAATTCATTATTGACAAAATCAGAGCAGGACAATGAGAAAGTAAAATAACCCTTAGAAACAGCTTCCTGCCACCCCTCCTTCCTTCCAGCTCTGCTCCTACCCCAGCAGCACAGGGAGACAGGGAATGGGGGTCATGGCCAGTTCATCACCCCAGGCTTCTCCCACTGCTCAGGAACAAGAGTCATTCCCCTGCTGCACCATGGGGTCCCTCCCATTGCAGACAGTTCTCCATGAGCTTCTCCAACGTGGCTCGATCTCATGAGCAGCAGCTCTCAGTGACCTGCTGCAGTGTGAGTCCCTCCCATGGACACACAGGCCTCCCAAAACTGCTGCAGCCTGGGTCACTCTTTTACAGGGTGCAGTCCTTCAAACACAAGCTGCTCCAGCATGGGGCCTCCCTTGGGTTCACAGACTCCTTTGTGCATCACCTGCTCCAGTGTGGGTCTCCCCCACCAGCTGCAGGTGGATCTCTGCATCCCCATGGACCTCCATGGGCTGCAGGGCACAGCTGCCTCACCATGGTCTGCAGGGGAATCTCAGATCCGGCACCTGGAGCACCTCCTCCTCCTCCTTCACTGACCTTGGTGTCTGCAGTGCTGTTCTTCTCCCATGTTCTCACTCGGCTCCTCTCCATCTGCAGTTGAAACTGTGCAATTTGGGTTTTTTGTTTTTCTTTTTAAATCTCTTACCAGAAGGTATTATTGTTTCTAATTGGCCCAGTGGCACATCTGTCTCTGAAGCCACCAGGGATTTGCTCTGCTGGACATGGAAAAAGCTTCTGGCACCTTCTCACAAAAGCCATCCCTGTAGTCATCCTCCCACAAGCTACAAAACCCAGGCCATGCAAATGCAGCACAAGTAGAAATGCCTGATCTGCTTCCTGCAGCTTGTTATATCTTGGCATAAGGCAGTTTGGTGCGTGACAAGACTACCCTGGAAAAGTTGTGCTAGTGGGATGATTGTAATTGTTTGTTTTGTCCCTTTCCTTTATAGAACTGAAGTTAGGAGAACTGCTTCATGACAAGCTGTAAGTATGTGTGTGGGATGGTTCTGGCTTTTAGATAAGATTACTGCAAACGTGTTCATGTTACTTAATAACTAAGCTTTTTTAGACTTTAAATAAAGTATTTGAAGTATATAGAATATCATACATTCTTAGCAGTGTGTATATGCTGCACTTGTATGAATGCTGAACATATCTGATGCTCTAAGTATAAAATTACATTTTTCAATGTGATTGAAATTCTGTTTCAGAAGTTCATAGCATATCTTATGATCTGTGGTGATTACATTACTACACTATCTTATGAGACTTGCTTTTGTGAAAAAAGGCCAGAAAGACTTTAAACCTGGTTACCCCAAGTGTCACTATAAAATATTTGATAAACAATCGTATGCCTTAATGCAACATAAATATCATGCTAAAGCAGAAAGTGAGAACTCTACACATTGAAAGTATAATTCAAAGAAAAGCATCTGGTAAAGACTTGCTGAATTTGAAACTAATAGCTCAGAAAACAGAAGCATGCTATTAAATGAAAACTTGCTTAAAAATGTGGGCATGGATGTCAGTTGAATCAAAGCACATTTTCAGGTGTATACATAAGAGCATTTCGGAACAAATACAGCAAATACAGAATTTACATTCTCAGAATTTAATTGTGCCACATTCAGTAAACTTTTTGTACTATAAAGCCTGAAGTTCTGACAAATGTCATGATAAAGTGAAGCACTGTATCTCCTCATATGTAGGAAAGTCTTTTAGTGTGGCTCTTCTGCAAGCTTTTTTTCTTCTGCCCTGACTACAAGTGATATGTTATCACATGACGTATTTTTTTTTTTTGCATCAGTTTTGTTAACATGCTTATTTTAAATAAACCTGTTATTTCAATATATATTAGTCTATGTTATGTATATTGTCATTAGTGTTTGGGGGACATATCTTACTTGGTTTTTTGGATGTGGTGTACTAAGGAACAGCTTGTTCAGTTAATATCAGTTTATGATATTGCATGACGTTTAAGAAGCTGCTATAAAGTTTATAGAAACAAGTGTGCAAAGATATAGTAGTGGGATATTTCACTCAGGAGTGTTCTTCATCCTTATAGAAAGTTTAATAATTTTCTTTTACTTTTAACCATCTCTTTTCCTATGAATTTGTTGAGAGATTCTTAACTTCCTGAAAACCATGATCTCTGAAGATCAATACTAATGTTCATATACCTTATTATCTGTGGTCAGAATATAGTGTACTTGGTTTCTCATCCTGTGTTCTTTTTGGTTAGTTTGCAAAGACTATTTTATATTAAAAAATACATTGAGCACATTTATTTTATTTGTATTCCTAGTTTTGGTCTTTTTGAAGCCATGTCTGCCATTGAAATGATGGATCCCAAGATGGATGCTGGTATGATTGGAAACCAAGTTAACAGAAAGGTTCTTAACTTTGAGCAAGCTATTAAGGTTTGTATGAATTTCCTGGGTTTACCTACACTGTCTGTAGAAATATACATTTTTGTCAAATTACAGCTAAGCACAATGCAGCATAAATAGTGTTTCTCTTGAAATCTTATGTTTTTCTTTTTTCTTTTGGAAAATTAAGTAAAAAATAGGTTGTAATGTTTACCTTTCTTGTTACCTGCATTATCACAATGATGCTAACTCTTCCAGTGAAAAGCAATATGAAATTATTGGTTATTGATACCTCAAGTAAATATATCTCCAACATTGTTTTGCAAATAACTCTATGCTTCCCCAAAATGTGTCTTTTATATGAAGATGTATTGGTTAGCTTCTGTTTAACCTGGATGGAAACCAGCTTCCTTAAAAAAGCTGGAAATTAACACTTTATCATTCTTTGAGTTTATCAGCATTGAACAAAAGCCAGATAATTTATCAACATCGACAATAATGATTAACTTTTGATTTATGATCAAGGTAAATTGGAGGACAGAGGTTGAAAGACTTGCTGTTTTTTCAGAAAAAGTAATGCACTCAGAGGCAAAAGAATTTTTTTATGGTAAACACTTGGAATGGAGACAGAGAACTCTGTTAACACTAGCTAAGTCATGTAGAATGTATCCAGGATTGCATACATTGGGCAAATTAAATGATCAAATTTGCAGCCTTTTTGGTGTTGACCTTTAAGGCAGTAAAATACTACAAGTTTAAAAAGCAGTCTTCAAAGAGTTGGTCCTGCATATTACTTCTTGTTCAATCTTTATTATGATGATACAGTTTTGTGATTTTACTGTTAGCAGTTAACTGGTTTTAAACTTTTCTTGGCTAGTAATAAATAAGAATTCTTACTTTAGTCTTCTCTTTGGGTAGTTTTATGTTTGATCAGTGTTAACTGATGGGAATGAAAAGTTTTTAAGAATTTGAGACATGTTGTAAAGTTAGTTGGTAAAGCTAGTGGCATGCAATTATTCTGAAGTTTTAAACAAATATTAATTTCTGTTTTGGCTTTGGTACAAATAAGTTGCATTTTGCCTGTATGCTTTCATAGTATTTACGACTTTAGTTGTTTTTGTTTGTTTGTTTTCAAAGGATGGCACCATTAAAATAAAGGATCTCACTTCACCTGAGCTGGTAGGAATAATGGACACATGTTTTTGTTGTTTGGTAAGCATTTTCCTTTTCTTTAGGTTAGATGGTTTTGCTTTCAAAATATAATCCATTAATCCATCTTAAAAAAAAAAAAGAAATAAACCAGCAGAACTCAAAAAAATATTTACCAAGCAGAAAATACATACTTATATTTTAGTTTCCATTTAGTTATTTTTATTATCTATCATGAAAGGCTTAATTTTGATTTTTAATTTTTTTTCTATAAGAAATATGGAAGATAGCTGGTAGCGCCTTAAAAACTTTAAAAGGTTTTATACTTTCTGGTTTTATAAATGCATGTTATCTGATTGCCTGCTGTGTATTGATGTTTGACTGTGTTGGAAGCTGAGTGTGCAGTAACTGGTAGCACTCTGTTGCTCCTTTATGTACAGCCAGAATTGACTGAGCTTACAGAAGCATTTTGAACAAAGAAAATAAATATATTTAGTAAAAATAAGTTGAATATTAGTTACTTATTAATTGCAAATTTTTTTCTGTGTATATGCTTTAATTTTCTCAGTGACTGATACTCATTATTTTCAGTTATTCTTCAAAATTACATCAAAAATATTGTTTTAAAAAACATTTCCAATCAGTTTAGTCAGAATGACATGTAGAGATCATAGTATATCTGATTCAGTATAACATAATTTGTTTTCTACTCCTGGTCTCCAAAAGGGGACCATGTTATAAATATGGTTCTACTTAGTTTTTTACCATTTCAAGATAGAAATTTAACTTAGTGAAACTTTCCCTGTAGCTTAAAGAAACATGGAAGTGGTAGAGAGAGAGGATTATGATAAGAAGCTTTTATGTTGTGTAGAGAGAGAACATGAAGAACATTTGTGACTTGTCTCATAGTCATTTGCATTTTCCATTCACTATTTATGCAGAGAAGGTTTATTAAATGATGAGTTCTCTTAACATAATGCCATGTCTAAATCATTGGGGTTAGACCTGAACTTTATAGAAGAGGTTTATCCAATGCCAGAATTCTAGGCTTGAAACACCTTCACTTCCTCTTTTTTGGTACTTGGAATGTTGCCTTGATAAGGCGACTTTAATGTTTAGCTCCTTAATGAGTCTTTGAAGCACAGTAAAATGGAAAAAGAATGGATCTATGAAAATGAGGACTTGGCTGTCATGAGTTAAATATTTAATTTCCTTTTCCCTAGATAACATGGTTAGAAGGACATTCCTTGGCACAGACAGTATTCACTTGCCTTTATATTCATAATCCAGACTTCATAGAAGATCCTGCTATGAAGGCTTTTGCTCTTGGAATCCTAAAAATCTGTGATATTGCCAGAGAAAAGGTTAACAAAGCAGCTGTTTTTGAGGAGGTATGTGTTTCCCATCTCCTGTGGGGTTAAATATGCAACATTATACCATAATGCAAGTAAAACAATGTATTAGTGACATTTCTTAGTGTTTGATTTGAGGATACTGTAGAAATAGCACTTCACCATACTAAAAGTATTAGACTGGATACCTTTAAAATGCAGTTTTCCCCAGTGAAGGTGTTTCATGCTCTCTTCTGTATTTTCCTTGAATACTGGAGCCACATAAATATTTTAATCAAGAAGCAGTGCAAGTCTTGTGGTTAACTATTTGAAATGTGTCTCAGTTGTGAAACTGTTTAATTTTTTAATTTTTCTGTTAGATAGTAATGATTGCATTTTGCCTAAAAGTCCATCTGGCAGTGGGATCAGAGTCCTGTTTTCTGCGCTCAGAGCAATCTGTTTCCTCTGAGCTTGGACAAGTCACTCTTCCTGACTATATCTAAAATGGATCAAATACTACTTTGCAGCTATAGTTCATGTAACCTATTGGTAAGGTGTCACATGATGAAAATATGAAGGGCATATTAAGGATTTATGCAGAAAATGATTACCTGAAACTGGATTTGGGTGGGAAAGTCATTCAGTGTATTCATTCTGAGTGCATTCAGCTGTGTAGAATAAATCTGGACCTCTGTACATGATAGAATTAAACAAAAGCACACCCCCAGTCACTCCTCCAAAAGAGAAAAAAACAGCAAAAAGACTCAAAACCTTTTAAGAAAACAACTCCTAAAAAACCCAAACCAAAAAGAAGATCTCAAACCCCAATCTGAAAATGTAACTACAGCTTTTATATTTCACTACATATTGCTTCTTTGATTTTTCTTTTTAGGAAGATTTTCAGTCAATGACTTACGGATTTAAAATGGCCAATAGTGTGACAGATCTTAGAGTTACAGGTACAGTCTGTGCTTGCTTTATATCTGTTCAGCAGCCTCTTTCTCTTTTGAGCATGTGATTGCTTTCAGACACATCTGATTAATTGCTAGGAGTTTCAGCTGTTAAGTTTTTATTTTTATTGTGGAAATTGCTGACTTGGTAAAAAAGAGATAAAATTATTTTTCCTTGGAAAAAAGGTTCAGTTGTCTTGTTATGTCCCTGAGAAACAGAAGAAGTGCTTTTAAATGCACCAATGAAGTGGCTAGGCATGAGCTCAACATGGTAAAGATACAGACCAATAGAAAGTACATTGCTTGAATTCTTTTTTGCCTCATAATTTGTTGTCCTCTAAATAGGCTGGTCTAGGAAAAAAAGCAATCTAGTAGTTCTACAGCTATGAGTACATATGTTTTTAAGTACATACATCAGTATGTACATTAATGATGCACTTTTTTTTTATGTGTATTTGAGCTTTTCATTGATACATTTTTGAAAAGCTTATGCACGCTTTAGCTTTGCATCAGTTGGTCTGTATCCTGATTTTTCGTTGTTCCAAGACATCCTCACCATTCCTCACAAGATTATTTTTTGTTTAGTCTTTGGCTAATGGATATGTAAAGCACTTTTAAGTTTGATTTTCCCCTGAGTGGTATAGGTGTGCCTAGAAATGCTTCTCAGCTTTTAATCATGCTGTGATTTTTTTCCAGGTATGCTGAAAGATGTAGAAGATGACTTGCAAAGACGAGTGAAGGTATTTTCATTTTTGTCTTGTCAATTATATTTTAGGTGTCCTTAACATAGGTTTGGGGTAGGGAGTTGGATTATGAGGAATGAAGGAGGGTTTTGTCATTGTAATGGGGTTTTTGAAGGACTGCCATAATGGTTTCTGTAACATGCTTTTAGTTTGCCTTCTAGCTAAGTCTTCACTTTATTTGTGAACTCCTTAGTTGCTTCAGTAGTAGTAGAAGCTGGAGTCATGATGCAGAAGATAACACTGGGCTAGGACACAGAATGTAGGTATTTAACTTTCGGGTTTTAGGCAGATATACCATGTAAGGTTAAAGAAGTTACTTAATTTTCCTTTACTACAGCTTAAAATGTAACGCGTTCATGCACTTTTCTTGCTTATTTGCAGAATTTACTGAGATAGTTCTTATTACTAAAGGACAGTCATTCAAGTATCTGGATTATATTTTAAGAAATTTTGAATTTGAAAACTGATTTTTCGGGTTATTTAACAGGTGGATGTTTTAGAGAAGGCAAAGGGATTTTATCAGTCGCTTCCCTTTGCAATTTTTAGTAAATTATTTGACATTTCTTTACCTTGCAGAGCACCCGAAGTCGGCAAGGAGAAGAGAGAGATCCAGAAGTTGAACTTGAAGTAATGAATTGTTTGCTTTTTTCCTGAATTTCATGGATGTAAATGGGAGATTTAAATATGGCATAACCATACCCCTGCATTTAAGAAGCAGCCAGGAAGTGTGACCACCCAGGAGCATGGGGAAGAGCTGGAAAACAGCAGGGCATGCCAAGGCTTTTTGTGCATCAGTTTGTGCAGGGAGGGCAGGAGTCCTATGGGAGTTCTGCACACCACAATACAAGAAAGCCATTAAAGTATTAGAGTGTGTCCAAAGAAGGGCCATAAGGATGATGAATGGCCTATGGCCTTTAGGGGAAGCTGTATGAGGAGCAGCTGAGATCACTTGCTCTGTTCAGCCTGGAGATGAGGAGACTGAGGGGAGACCTTTTGCAGTTAAAACTTCTTTGTGAGGAGGAGGAGGGACAGGCACTATCTCTTCTTTGATGGTGACCAGTGAAAGGACTTGAGGGAAAGGCCTGAAGTTGTGTCAGGTGGGGTTTAGGTTGGATATTAGAAACAGTGTTTTCACCCAGAGGGTGGTTGGGCACTGGAACAGGCTCCCCAGGGAGGTGGTCACAGCACCAAAACTCTGAGTCCAGGAAAATTTGGACCACACTCAAGCAGTTGGGGTGGGCCAAGAGTTGGGCTGGATGATCCTTCTGTGTCCCTTCCAACACAGGATATTCTATGATTCTATTATCTAATACCTACTACTAAGTAATTAGCAGTATTACTTTATTACAGCATCAACAGTGTTTAGCTGTCTTCAGCAGAGTCAAGTTTACCCGCATCTTACTCACCGTCCTGATAGCTTTTACGAAAAAAGAGGTACATTCATTTGGCGTTTCTGTGTTTACATTGGGATGCTGTGAAATACCCATTTTTCATTCTTTAAGATCCAGAAATTACTGTGTAGATTCATGAGATTTGAATTGATGTGGATGGAGGTAAAGCTTTGAATAAAGCCTTACAGTGGCAAATACTCAGTTTTTGTTCCAAGTGGGAAACACAGGGAAGGCTAGTAGCTGACCTTATTATGGCCTTGCAGAAGGACAGAATATTCATTACAAAAGGTTTAAAAATATTTATGGATTTCTAATTACTTTTTTCACACATGAGCAAAACTTCTTTTAAGTTCAGTTCCCTCCTGTGGAGTTACCTGATGCTGGGCACTATTTTGTCCATATTAGAAGACCTGTATGCTTTTCCTTTCATGTGATAAGGAATTTATATCTAGATATCTTTGGTCTGAGAAGAGGAATTTAATAGCATTCCATACAATTTGCCCGTTTTTTGAGGATTGATGTAAGATTTCCTAATTACTGAGAGGGGAAGGAACTTCATGTTTTAAGGCAAAGGGCTAGAACTACATGCTCCCCGAAGCAGACTGTCATGCATTGTGTACAAGACTTTCAGTTGTAACTATTGTAAAGTCTTACACAGCAAAATATACAGCATTGAATTTATGTACATATATATAAAATGTGCTACCACACAAAAATCTTGGGTTGTTAGGGTTTTTTTCAGAACTTGGGTTATATAAGAATATCAGAATTTTAATGCCCTTCCTTTTTTTTTTATACTAACATTATTTAGATAGTCAAAATATATTGGTTTGTAATGATGATAATTTTTTCCTGGCTTTCAGACGAGTGCAGTTGCAGAAGCTCAGAAATTAATGACTCAGGCAGCTGACTTGCTCTCTGCCATACACAATTCACTGCATCATGGTATGCAGGCACAGAATGATACCACTAAAGGAGGTATGTATCAAATTACACCATTTTTTCCTTTCCTGGATATGATCCCTTCACAAACATAAATACCTTTGTGTATTTTTTTAAAAAGTTGAAATCACTATTTACTTTGAACTAAAACACTTGCTATACAAGTTGTTACAGATTTGCATTGTTTGATTTTAATTTTATTTTACCAGGTGGTGGCTCTCCTGAGAGCAACACTGTCATTTCAAAGCCAGAGATAATGTGAACTTTTGATTAAGTGCATCACACTTGGAATCAGTGTATATGCCATTTTAAAATAGGGAACAATACTTCATTGCTTGTACACAAGGACTCGGGTTTCTTAAAGAGTAAACATTGTAGTAGTTGGCTTGTTGGAGTCTCGGGAAGTTAACTGTCACTTTAAGAATTCATTTTGGCTAATTGAATAATTTGTATTATTGAAGGGGGTTCTGAAAACACAACTCATATGCAACTTTTCTCTCTCTCCCCTCCTCCTTCTTTAGATCATCCTATTATGATGGGGTTTGAGCCACTTGTTAATCAGAGATTGCTGCCACCAACTTTCCCTCGATACGCAAAAATTATTAAAAGGGAAGAAATGGTCAATTATTTTTCCAAACTAATAGACCGAATAAAAACTGTATGTGAAGTAGTCAACTTAAGTAACTTGCACTGTATACTGGTAAGCATGAATATTTCTTATTTATTACCAGAAATAAGATCTGAAAATGTGACTTGCAAAAAAATCATTCCATATATGCATACTCTTGCTCACTGGAGAGAAAACTGAGCACTATGTATATATTTGGTGTTTTTAACTGTTAGGCTCAATTTCAAAATTTACTATTCTTCCTGATAGTTACTACTTTTCTTCTTTTGATAAGGACCTTTTCTTCTCTCAAACATCTCAATTTTCCTGTAATTCATTAAATAGTTGTCTTACTGGCCAAGGCCAAGCAAGTTTCTTTGGTTGAAGACCTGTGTCTACAGCAACGGAATATAATTCTTTGCTATATGTCTTCATTTTTTTTTTCAAATTCATTAATCAGTATTCTGCACGTGTGCCTATAACACAAGAGGGCACTAAATAGGCATAAAGTTAAGCACCTGCTTATATTCTTTCCTTAATACCTGATGTTACTCTTAGTTACTGCCTACATGTATTGGAAGACACTTAAATGCTTGAAATATTTTTTGGTATCCATGCATTCACTGACTGATAAAAGAGATACAGTTACAGCAAACCTCTCATCTTCTTATTTCCTGCTAATTAATGAAAGGAGTGTTTGCATGAGGTGCCTGGTACCAGTTAAACCTTGCCTGGATTTCAATCAATTTTTTAAAATAAATTCTCAGTTTTGTTCAATACCTAGTATAGTTACATCATTATCTTAATCACACAGTACTTTTTTTTTCTGTACTATCATCTTTCTAGTTGTAGCATTTGAAAATTCAGAACACTTTTTGTTAGGAAACGAGTAATTGCAGAAAATCTTCATAATATATTTTGTTCTGTTCAAACTATTCATGGTCTGTTTCTTACAAGCTGTGTAAGCTATGCTGTTTGTGTATGCCTTTAGACAAAATGTAGGTGTATTTACCCAGCTGTATATATTTGTTTAGGAAAGGTGCGTGTGTGTGTGTAAAAATGATTTGGTGTATATTTATACATATATAAATTGGCATATTAACCTGATTTGTGTTTTTTTCTTTTCCTACGTATATGTTAGGACTTCTTCTGTGAGTTTAGTGAGCAATCACCGTGTGTTCTTTCAAGATCCCTGTTACAGGCAAGTCCTAATTATGTCTACTATTAAAATACTTCTGTATTCATTATAGATACATTTTCTTTAATATTTCAATAATTTGCATGTAAGTTAATAATAGTTAAGTGGTAAATAATGTTCTGGTGATATTTAAGTATTAAGTATTATGGAAGAAATGCTTTGCTATGAGGATGATGAGGCATTGGAAGAGGCTGCCCAGAGAAGTTGTGGATGCTCCACAAGCATTCAAGGCCAGAAAGCTGTCCCTGCCTATGGCTGGGAGTTTGGAACTGGATGATCTTTAGTGTCCATTCCACTGCCAACCATTCTGTGATTCTATATATATAGGTTTATGTTTTGATCTAATTTCTAAAATAATTTTTAAACACTGTTGCTTTGATCATTTTAGTACATGCTCATTAAAACAGAAAGCATTTAATATTTTTTTTCTCCACCATAAAGCTGTGCCTGTACACATATTTTTATGCTGCTCTTCATGTGCTTTTTCATTTTGGGGCTGGTATTTGTATTCATCTCCCTATTTGGACAGAACTTAATGTACAGACTGCTTCTGTTGCTACAACAGTAAAACTGATGGTTGATGCAGAATAATAGGATGCCCCTAGATGCCAGAATTTTTTTACATTTGATCCCTATTAAACCATGTGTAGAGCCAATGGACTATAAATGTGGGCAAGTGAAATGTGTTCCTAGCACGTGTATTCTCACCTTCCACTACATGTGTTTGTGTAATCCCTGTGGGTGCCTGACAGCAGAGTTTTTTCTTCAACTGCTGAAGAACCATGTAAGAAGGGGACATAGCACTCATGGAGGGAAGTTAAATGAGTATCAGACATGACTGATGTAAGTAGTAGCATCCAGAGGGATTGAAAAACATCAACAGTGCTCTGGAAATATATCCTTATCTTTGTCCAGAGAAGGCACATATTTTATGCTAATTTTCAGAAATGTCTGCTGTATCATCCAAGAAATTGAACAATTTTGCAAGCACTCTATTGTGCAAGTAATAGAGCTGCATTTGGTGTCCTGGGAATACCAAAGAAGTGTCAGGTCTCAATATTTCTGAGTCTTTAACCTTGGACCTAGTTGAGCCATTTTAATTCTTTAGGTAATCTTACAATTTTATTATATAAAAAAGGTACTGCCAGAGTTTTCTATTAGCAATTCTAGAGCATTACTTTTATGTTAAAACATGTTTCTAAAAGCACATCCTTACTTTTAGACAACTTTCCTAGTAGATAACAAGAAGGTGTTTGGCACTCATCTCATGCAAGACATGGTAAAAGATGCCTTAAGATCTTTCGTCAGTCCTCCAGTACTTTCTCCAAAGTAAGTAGATCTTGAGTGTACTTGTATGTGTTTACATGTCTGATGAAAATGTATTTCTGTTACAAGAGCAATGACAATTGTACAAAAAACATACATTTTGTACATAGTGCTTATGTATGAAGGACTCAGTTGCTGTTGCTGCAATCATCTTTCTTTTTTGTTTTGTGCTACATAGATTTTTATAAATGGTGGCATTTATAAAAAATATGTATGTACATGGGTATTTCCTTTTTAGGTGTTGTCTTTATAATAACCACCAGGCAAAAGACTACATTGATTCCTTTGTCACACATTGTGTTCGGGTAAGTGTTCTTTCCAATTATAAAATGTATCTGTATGTGAGAACTTTGCAGATGTACATACATTTGAAAATGAGACAAATTATTTTACACACCTGACATGAAGGCAAAATTGAAGAAGTTGGCCATCTTAAATTGGTAATGCCTTTTAAAAATCTGGTGTAATTATTGCTGGTTTTCTTCTGCTTCCAGATTTTTATTTAGCATTTATAAGAAATCTGCATCTACTACATCTTTATAGAGTAGTTTCATGTCATGAATGCATATCAATAAAAACAAAATTATTTTAATATTCTGTTCAGTCTCCGTTTTTTAGGATTCTGTTGTTGAATGTGGCATGATGAAAATCTTAACAAAATCAGAATTATTTAGGTTGGAAAATACCTCCAAGCTCATTGAGTCCAAAACCAGCACTGCCAAGTTCATCACTAAACCATACCCCTAAGTGCCGCAACTACACATCCTTTAAATATTTCCAGAGATGGTGACTCAACCACTTTCCTGAGAAGCTGGTTCCAATGCTTGACAAATTTCATTGTGAAGAAATTTTTCTTAATATTCAGTAAAACCTCCCCTGGCACAGCTTGAGGCCATTTCCTCTTGTCCTGTCACTTGACAGAAGAGATGAGCCTCACTTGGCTGCACCCTCCTTCCAAGTGGTTGTAGAGAGTGATAAGGCCTCCCCTGAGCCACCTTTTCTGCAGGGTAAAATAAAAACACCCCTAGCTCCCTCAGCCACTCCTCACATGACTTTTGACACAGACCCTTCACACCTCCATTGCTCTTCTGTGGACATGCTCCCTCAAGGTCTCTCTTGTTGTGAGGGCCCCGGAAATAAATGAGGTTTGAGACAAGGCCTCACCCACCAGTACTGAGTTCAGAGGGACAACCACTGCCCTGGTCCTGCTGGATACTGTGTTTCTGATACAGGCCAGGATGCCATTGGCCACCTTAGCGACCTGGGCACATGGTTTTAGGTATAAGAAATACCTCTTTAGCCCTAAGCATTTTATTCTGGTGACTTCCTAAAGGATGCTGACTTAATTTCACATCAGCTTGTGTGCAGAGAATTTGGCTCTTGCATCACTCCATAGAGTTTGCTTTCCTGCTAACTTGCACTTTGTAGGGAGTAGTAAGGGACCCACTTCCTAATATAGCTATATAAACCAGGTGCCTAAATAGACATCATAGTACTTCTCCTGTAGTTTTGAAGTTGTATTGGTAATTTAAAATTACACTTTGCTTCTTTCAGCCATTCTGTAGTCTGATTCAAATCCATGGACACAACAGAGCTCGTCAGAGAGATAAACTAGGTCACATCCTTGAGGAATTTGCGACACTACAAGATGAGGTAATGTCCTAGGCAGCAGGCCAGCAAAGTTTCTGCCCAGGTATATTAATGCCAGAGTGAAGCGTGGTACTAACTTCTAAATGAATGATGGAAAATCCTTAAGACAAGGACTCCTAAAATTTAGCACATTTAACAAGAAATTTTTAGGATGCATCCCAAAACTTTATGCTAGATGTGTTGAACAAAAACATACATTTTTTAAGATTAACTTTGTCCAATAAGTAGACTTCAGAATGACCTGTTGCGATGTAATTTAATGGTAACTTAGTTAATTTAATGGAGCTTTTAGTCTCTATCCTGCTTGTGATTATCAGTCTGCAAGATGTAACCAGGGGGAGATACACAAGGTGTGCTTACAAGACACCTTTGAAAACTCAGCCTTGTACCTACGTAAGATGGAAACTGCAAAATTTTATAATTAATAAAAATAAAGTAAAAAAATAACTCTTAAAAATATGTCTTCTGACTGATTTTTGGACATCTCTCAAGAATGGGGAGAGATGAGAAGAAAAAAATACATTCTCTCTTGCTGGAAGTTGAGTTTCCTCAGCAGTGAGAGCCATATAATAATATTTCCCAATATGGCAAGGAGAACAATTGAGGAACTTGGAGGGAGATTTTGTGTGCTCCAGCTTTCTTCAACATGGTTTGAGTTTGTTGCAGTATTGTAGCTGAGGCACTGTTTTTTTCATTTTGTAGCAGGTTATATGGATTGTTCTGTTTAGGCTTACTGACGATATTCCAACAGTGAGAGACTGTCTTCCATACAACTTCCTTCTTAAGACAAAATTGGTCTTGGCAATATTTTAGTTACTCTGGTGGAACATAGTGTGTTTCTTGCATATAAAGCTTATAAATTTATTTTTTCAGTACAGCTAGGTTTTTTTTTAAAAAAAGTAATTCTTGCCAATATAGAACAATGAACACTAGCATGTAATGGATTCTGAGTTTGTGCTCATGTGACTGCTAATGATCTATACACAAATACATTTAAAAATTACAGATTTTATGTATCTAATGTTCTTGCTATAATACTGTGTAGAATATTTTTGTTCTGTGCAGCAGAATTTACTTAGGTGAGTATCTTTACAGTTTTCTGACAGTTCTAGACTTGTTTCCATCTTTTAATCTGGAGCATAAATTTACCAACCCAATTTGTTAAAATTTTATTTCTGGCTTTTTTTATTTCTGCTGTTTCAGTCAAATATTTTTCCTCCTCTGTCTATTACTTTGAGGTCCTTTGGTTTCTTTTCAACAGGCAGAGAAAGTAGATGCAGCGCTTCATAGCATGTTACTGAAGCAGGAACCACAAAGGCAACATCTGGCTTGCTTGGGCACCTGGGTCCTATACCACAACCTTCGTATTATGATACAGTATCTTCTCAGTGGCTTTGAGTTAGAACTTTACAGTATGCATGAATATTACTACATCTATTGGTAAGAAGATGCTTTATTGACAGCTCTTTGAAGAGGGATGCTTCCAGAGAGCTATAATATTTGAAGGAGGGACTTCCAATATGATTTTATGATCTCAAGCTTGATCAACACTGTGTTTGGTTTACCTATTTATAATATTACAAGGAGAGAAAAAAATCTGTTGGTCTCTAGCTTTTTAAACTTACTAAATAGCGTACCTTTTTTCCTGAAGTAGTAATTCTCACTCTGTTTAGCTTTTTGGCAGAGGGTCTTTTATTGACAATGAATGAAATGTGTGCTAATTTTGGTAGACAAGAGGTATGCAGGAGAAAAGCAATTTCCTTTATTATTTTCTAACTTTGTAGTACCAGGATCACTAGTCTTATTGATCTCTAGTATTCTGGAAAAGTTCTGCAAAGTTTTAAGTCATAACTGTAATCTGAAAGTTGACTAGGTAAAATTAACTTCTTATCTGGGGTATATTTGAAGAGATATCCTCCACCTTTAGTGAAAATGATCACATTATCTGGAAACAGAATACTTTTATTTTTCCACTTCCATTCACATTAATTATTTTTATAGTTAATGGCTTGTGCTAAAAGAGAATTTTAAATTTTTTTTTAACCTACCAAGAGATTCCTATGTAATCCATAGCCTTCTTATTGAAAGATGAAAAGAGTGCAAATGACACAAACTTCAATGTATTGCATATCTATGTTGTTTCAACAGTGGATTAAGTATTAAGTGAAAACAATAATATTTCAGAAGTCACCAGAAGATGGCAATCTTTTTCAATTAGTAACTGAATAAGTAATAACTTTTGTGAGAGACAGTATTTTCTACCTGCCCTTATTTCCCTCTAAAAATTTGGAATTGTCATGTCAACTGCTTTCTTACTTGAGAAGAAAAAAAGAGAAGCAGTTTCTGAGAGGTAATGTGCAAATGAAACTCAAATTTCTCAGTAATTTTTTTCTGATTACAACATTTTAATAACTATTACTACATTTTATTACATACTACTACATATTACTACATACTACTACTATTCCTTTTGATTTGAAATCGAGTAAGATATTTATTGGACTTGCTTCCACTTTCTAAAAAATGTTCCTAAAGTTGTCTCTAACTCTGAAAGAACTGCATATGGATGTTGTGGGTCTGTGGGCTTGGCCCCTTTATGTAATAATCCATAACTTTTTAATGCTTGAAAAAATCAGTAGTTTCATTGTTTCTCAGAATAACAAGTCAGAACAAAGGTAGAAAAGGTATTAACATAGTATCTTTAAAAAAACCCACTTGATTTGGTGGGGGAAGAGTTCTAGAAAAATTTGGTCTTACAGGAGTTTTGATATAAGAAGCTTAGACTTAGTAAATGTGTAAGAAGCTTGCATACCTTGAGCTGTTAGTGGTTGAATCTGAACCAAAACATGAACATAGAACAATGTGTTGATTCCAGCCGTGCAAAACAAAGAGTTTTCATGGCCCATAGGAATTGTCCTTTGCTAGGACCTGTCCTTCACCTCTTGGAGCAAGCGCCTCGGTAGTCAGCGGGACGTGCGCAGCGCAAGTGCGTGGTGCGCTGCAGCCGTAACCGCTCCTGTGTGCGGCCTCTGTGCAGGTACCTCTCCGAGTTCCTCTATGCCTGGCTGATGTCAACACTGAGCCGCGCCGACAGCTCTCAGATGGCAGAGGAGAGGATAATGGAGGAACAACAGAAAGGCCGCAGTAGTAAGAAAACAAAGAAAAAGAAGAAAGGTACCTAGGTGTAGAGTGCTAACACCTCTTTCCCTTTCATGCTGCTATGTAGATTTAAAATTCAAAATTTAAACAGGGAACACTTAAATGAGTAGGAAAAATATCCTCATGTTTATGAAGGCTGAATGTAAAACTTTTAAAACGTTTCCTATTTATTTAGTTCATTTTTTACTTTCAGATAGATCTTTCAGAAAAACACGAACTCATTTATATTCACTGTATATAGTTTCATCAGTTGTGTTATGTGTTGGACCTTCTCAGAGTTTATAATTCCTGCAGAATTATGCTTTTAGTGACTGTAACTAGGTTCAAACACTAGACTTTCAGCATATTTCTGTAATTTTTATTTGGCTTTAGAGGTCTTAAAGCACATTTCTTAATTATACAGTGGTGAGTTTCTGTTTCTTTTCCTTGCCACCTTTTCAAGGGGAACAAACAATTAATTGGATATTGCTCAGGATCATATCAATTAATTTCCCTTGTCTCTTGAAATTCAGAAAATTACTAATGTACTTGAGATGCCAAGTGTTGGGCAGTTTGGCACTAATTAAACACTGGAAACTAAAGGGAAACTTAAAAGAATGCTCTCAGGATTATAAGGATAAAAAGTGCTTTAACTTCTTAAAAGTTAAAGCACTTTTTATCTTTATAGAAGTCAAAAAGATCCCTGAACTAGGCCTCTTAGGCCTCTTGCATACAGACTGTAAGTTTGAGGGTGTTGTACAGTGTTTTATAATGTCATGGGGATACCACTGATCAGTTTTTATTCCATTGAGAGTAGAATTGTGTTCATGTGACTGGTAGGGGTGTCCTGAGGTTTTTTTATGTAACCAGGAGTCAGAGAAGCAGAAATGCATGTCTAGGCTTTGTATACTTCAGTTATTTTAAAATATAATTAATAGTTAAATGACTTTGTAGAAATTTGGAAGAACTCCTCTATCTGAAATTAATATATGTACTTACACTGAAGTAAGAAAATGTATTTTTATGTAAAATTTGCAGTTCGCCCTCTCAGCAGAGAGATCACCATGAGTCAAGCATACCAAAATATGTGCGCTGGGATGTACAAGGTAACTCATTTGTGTTCTATTTGTTTCAAATTTTTTTGTAATAGGGATCCTGCATCCACTGCATGCCTTCTTTTTTTGTAGTGGTAATGAAAATTAGGTTCAAATTTATAATTTTCTATTCTGAATTCTCTACAGTTTTTCTATCCTTCCAGTTATACCTACATCATAATTTTGATCCTTCTCACAGCAAAGTATGACATAAAGCTAATATTTTCACTATATTTATCTTTTTCGTTTAGACAATGATTGCCTTTGACATGGATGGCAAAGTAAGAAAACCTAAGTTTGAACTGGATAGTGAGCAAGTTCGATATGAGCACAGATTTGCTCCATTCAACAGTGTTATAACACCACCTCCAGTGCACTACTTGCAATTTAAAGTGAGTAATCTTCAAACATGATGCTGCCCATGCTTTTATAGAAGTAATTTACTCACCTGCTTTAAATATCACTGTCATGATAAGAAGAACCTCAGAGTTCACATTGAAGCTATGTCACAATGGCAAGGACTTCCTAGCTTTAGTTTTGTGAAAGATGTATTGCATTGAAGTCTTTATAAACTTAGACATTTAGCATCGGTCTGATATGGCAATTTAAGATGGTTCTGTTGAGTTGCATGAAAACCAAATCTCTTGGAAGTCTATTGAAAGACTTCTCGGCTGCAGTTAATAATAGCGGCATGTTTTTATTAGTGCAGCAAGCAAATGGAAAAATAAAGAAGCTAATTTTGAGTGGTGTATAGAAGGGACCAGTGGAGACTTGTCTTGTCCAGTCTCCTTCTTGAAGTAGCATTATAAATCACATTACCTGTGTCTTTGTCTAGCCAAATCTGAAAAAAGTCAAGGTTGGAGATTTTCCAGCCTCTTTGGTTAAACCCGATCCAGTTACTTTTTTCTGGTCCTGTAAGTCACAGGATAACTGATTGAGGGCTCCACTACTCCTTTTTTTTGCCTAATGCCCAACGTGAATTACCAAGCCACAACCTGTGGCCTCTCACGTTATGCTGTTTGCCATTATGAACAAGGAATCTTTATCTTCTGACAGCTTTATAACTGTCTTTCAAGAAGTCGTAGGCTGCTATTAAAATTACCCATTAGCATCCTTCCTATTAAACTGAAAAAGTCCAGGTCCACTGACCTCTCCTTGTGGCTTATATGCTCTAGGCCCCCAACTATCTCCACATCTCAACATCTTTCTTGAACTGAGTGGATCCAGCCCTGGATGCAGTATTTCAGATAACAGAACACAAATACTGAGTTCAGGATGATAATGTTCTTTGATATGCTGACCATACTCCTGTTTGTATTATCCCATATGAGGCTTGTCTGATTTGTAGTAAGACCACCTTGTCGGCTCATATTGAACTAGGTGTTTGCTGCTCACCCAGCTGGTTATTAGTCTCATTTGTGAGGTTAGTCTGTACTGAAACAGTGCTATTTTCTATTCCAGTTACTCTCCCCAGTTATAGGTTACGAACTGTTGTAGTGGAAATTAAGCGATTATCGTGGTCTCTTCATTAAAGGTTTTTTTAAATCTGTAATCAAGAACAAAAAAAAATTGAAGAATCAAAATTATATAAAATGAAGTTTTGTACAGTTTCAGCATCTGACTTGCTATAGCTTTGAGTAAACAATATACTTTTTCATCTGCTTTTTTCCTGTAATATCATACCCTGTTGTGTGCCACTATTAAAGCAAATGAATGTCAACTTGTTCAAGAGAGACTGTTTTATAAAGATTGTGAGAATTTCATTATGTTTTGTGGCACTGTAATAGTTGACCACTGTGTTGTTGCTTGGATTTTGCCATTTTCAGTTTTGATTTTTAAAATAGTATTTAGTTGACATAACTCCTCTTGAATACAGTAATGTGATAGAAGCAATCTCCTGGCAATTTTAAATTTCAATTTTATATTTTTTAACATGTATTTATGTATTTCTGTAACACACTAGGAAATGTCTGATTTAAATAAGTATAGCCCACCTCCTCAGTCATCAGATCTCTACATGGCAGCTAGCAAGCACTACCAGCAAGCTAAAATGATTCTTGAGAATATTCCGAATCCAGACAATGAGGTAAGACTGCAATACTAGGAAAACAAGTATTTGCTCAAAATAGAGAAAGTGGTTTTTTTCAGCTGGATCTCCTTGAGATCCAAAATGTACTTCATCGAAATGGTGAGCAAAGTTGAGTGCTTGATTAAGGGGTAGACAGTGGTCTGTGTCAGTACAGCAGTTAGCAGAAAGTTTGCTCGCGGTAAAAGTAGCTCTCTCTGCTGAGGACCTGAGATGCTGCATAGCAGCATATTTCCTTGCATGCTGCCTTCTAGCCCCTTTCTAAAAGCACAGCACTTATAATCAGACAGTGATAACATGCCTGTCCCACTTGGTTGGCATCTAGTAATTCAGGTGGACTCCTGAGAGGTGGGGAAAACAGGTTTGGATGCCATTAGGATGAAAAGAGAATTGGTCTTGGTTTTGGCACTTGTTCCCTGGAGCATTTTTCTCAGCACTGAGCTGTAAACATGGGTAGGAATTTCTCCCTTTTTGTCCATAGCCTAAAACCTTAAGTGTCTGTGACTGTATTTTGGAGCAAGGAGGATGCTTTTTCTGTCAAATCTAAGCAGATTTAAGAATATTTACAGGATTGGGTCCTCCTTAGAATTTAGGACTGTCTCCTCTCTGGATCATGGTGGTACTCACACATGAGCTAACTGAGACCAAGATAGTTAAAAGGCAGCTTTGAGCACACTCAGAGCACTTCCATGCCAAAAGCCACCAGTTATGAAACATGAGTTCCTCTTTCCATTGTGTTGCAATGTTGAGGATAAGATGCCTAGAGTCTATCTATACCTTTATTTGTGTGAGCGCCACAGAACTTGCCATAGTTCCCATGGTTTTGTTCAAGACTTGTTAAAGCTGTGGTTTCTGTGGCCTGTTGAATTTTTTAAAAACTGAGTTTTAAGATAGATGCACCCTTCATTAAATTTAATTAATTCAGCTGTTGTATTTAAAAACAAATCCAAAACAGTCTGATCTCTGTTAAACTGATCCTGTAAGAGAACTCCTGTATTGCTAATAGAATATCAACATTACAGTATTATCTTTGAAATAATTGTGAGGTCAAATGTTTTGCCTTGAAGACTTCTTTCTGTTTTATGTTTAGGTCAATCGAATTCTAAAAGTCGCAAAACCAAATATTGTGGTCATGAAGCTGCTGGCAGGAGGCCACAAGAAAGACTCTAAGGTAAGGAAATGCCAGCCCAATTGAACATAAAATGTTCACATACATTAAGGTTGGATTCAATGATCTGAAGATTTCCCAACATGAATGGTTCATCTAATTCTATGTAAAGCTACCACAGATCTCTTAAGAGCCAAATGAGCACATTCAAGCTGTATTTACTCTAAGAAGAGGGAAAGTAACTTATTTTTCCCCTGGAAATAGTTTGTTGTAGTTAAGCAAATATGGAAAATTCTAACGTGTAAATGTTTTCAGAAAAAAAAAAAGGGAAAAACATGTTGGACAACACAGACTATAAGAGTATTCTTCCATAGTGGGAACTAGCAAGCATAACAGCAGCTTGTATGAACAAAGTGATGGGAATGCGGGCTGCCACAAAGACTATGTTTTTTCAATCTGTTGCTGTTAAATTTTTTTTTCTGTCTGCAGGTTGTTCTCATAATAAGTATTAAGTGCAGTAGTACTGCTGTTCTGATGTCTAATCTTAAATCTTTATAGGTTCCTCCAGAATTCGACTTCTCTCCTCACAAATACTTCCCAGTTGTGAAGCTTGTTTGAAGTAAAAGACATTTTTTTAGAATACCTGAAGAATACCTGTGTAGCAGATACCAGCTCTAGGAGGGGGAATAACTAGTGCTGCACTCGGACTACGAGGGACGTCCAGGATAAAAATACTGTCATGTGGAATATCTGTACCGCTGCCTTTTTGTGATTTGAATGACAACTGCTGTTTTAAAGTGGTTTGTATAAAGTTTATTGGATTTTCTGCGTGAAGCTGACTTTAATCAACTGTAATATTAAAGAACACTGTATCTTAGTTGATATTATTACAGATTTTGATCATAAATAATTTTTATTACTGAGTTCTGACAAAGTGGTGCATTAGGAACTGAATAAAAATCATGCAATAGAGCTTCTTGTCTGATGCGCACAGCTGAGCTACTGCAATTCTGCATTTGCAGTCACTTGGAGAAATTTTGAGTTCCTGTATTTTTGTATAATTGTATCAGAATTGCTCACTTTGCAAGTAGAGGAATGTTGGAGTTTTTTTTTCACCATGTCCTCCAAGCTAAAATGATCTTTATAGAGAGCAAGAGCAGGTGAAAATTAGTCATTGAGTAACTGAGTGAGTGATTCCTAGTTGAAGTTTGTTCGTTTTTGTTCTCCAAGTCTGAGGAATCTGCACAGCAGATACTCCAGTAGTCACTAGCAATAGCACCAGACACTGAAGACTATTTTACCAACTTTGCAACTTAGTTACAATCCTAGTATTTGCTGGTGCAAACAAGGGATTGCTACATTTGCATGATCTTTATTCTCCATTTTGACTGCAATGGGGCTGCTCCATCCTGTTGTCTTCTGTAGTAATTTTCAGGTAGATTTCCAAAACAGAAGCCCCAAACCTATCCCTGCCTTCCTGGAATAGTTATGCCTTCCAAGCTTTCAGATGTGAAGTAACAGAGGTAAGCTGTTGTGTTGTAGCAAAAATGCAACCAAGGAAAAATGTTTTTCCTTTGCTACAAGCGAGGAAAGAATGTTCAAAAAGCGGACCAGGCCCTGGCCAAGTCATACTTAGGCCATACAAGCAAATCCTCTGTTGGACACGACAGTCTTCATTTTGGTGTACAATGACGTCCACTGTAGGGATGAACTCGTAACTCCACATTGGCCATAGAAAGCATTTTTTGGTGTTAATCCTATAACCTGATTTTACTGTGGATTAATATCACTTCAGCTTCATCCCCTGAGCAGTGGCACTGCTGAACTAGAGCTTGAAAACAGTGAGTAACCTCTGCAGTGAAACACCCACTTGTCTTCCAGCAATTTGCAGCTTCCTGAAATAAGCAGAAGTATTTTCCAAATTCTCTGCTAAAGAGATAGCATATCACATTACATGTTTGCTTATCATCATGATTAATACACTTGAATGCTTCCATATAGCTGCCAAAGGAATAAAAAACCTAGAATATGCAGAGGTAAAATGGCACAGAACATTCATCTGGCTTCTTGTAAACAGTCACAAAATCTTCCCCATCTTAAAGATTCTGATTTATATGACAGTAGCTGAAGGACAGCCTTTGTTATTTCTCCAGAGTGAAAGAGAAAGCAAATTACATGTGATTTGTGGAACCAAGAAAATAGCAATAATAATATTTCCCCTTCTAATTACAATTAGAACTAGATGAATTGTACAAAATAACATCAGTACACCAGAAAAGATTACTTTTAAATGCTTACCTAAATGGATCAAGTTTAATTGTAAAGTAAAGAAAACCAAACCAAAGTGCTAATAAAACACCAAGATGCTTAGAGAACAGTAGAACTAAAAACTTTAGTGAGAGACAACACTATGTACACCACAGTTCCAAATTAATCTCTTGTTCAGCTGCAGGTCTTTTAATTCTAAAGTTCTGTACAACAGACATACGGGCCTCTTGCCTACTAGAAATCTACCACCCGAGTTAGATTGAAGCACTTGAAGTCATTGTGAAAAAACTGTAGTCCTTGATTTTGAACACTGCTCTTATGCATGTTGTCGGACCCTTTGCCCTCAGAGGTTTACAAGTGTGCTTTGTACAGAGGTGGTCATATTTATGAAGGACAACATCCAGTTGGCTAGGAGAAGCCCAAAAATGTACAGAAGCACAGCCAAAACAATTAGTTTTAAAATAATCCTCTGGCAATATATTAATTACCCTTAAGTGTTTGATTCTTTGGAATTTTTAACTTGGTACTGGTAAAGCTATTCATACAACTTGATTTTGGTGTTTCACTGTCTATTTTTTACTGTTAGAATATATGCTTTTTAACAATCAATATTAAATTCCTGATCAACTTAAATCTCAGCTGCATAATTGTTTACACATTAAATCCTAGGAAAATGGTCAGAAGATGGGTAAATATTTTTATGCAAATTATGGGTAAACACTTTGATGTTCAAACATGTCGTTATTTGCAAAAAATATCCCAGTAACCAGATATACTTCCCAATACTTGTCAGAACAGATGCTCATTCCTCTTCTCTCTCATTTACAAGCATGTTTTCCCTGCTGTGTTGACTGTAGTAGTCCAGACCAGTTAGGTCTTACTTAAATGGTGAAAAACTGTTAGTGAACTGTTTCTGTGTTTAGGCTTAACAGGCATCTTTTGACTTAACTCTGACCTTCACTTGATGACAACTAATACTCTCTTCATACACAAAAAAGCCAGCCTTAATCTTAAGGTACAGGATATACTAGTACACTGAAGAACGACACACCAAAAAAGGAGTTACAAAGTGAAGTGCTTTAACGGAAGGCAAAGACAAATTTATGTTTTCTTAAATGGAATGCTGGTTGGCAAGTTAGTCACAGCTGTCTGGGAGCTGTGCTGTCTTCATAGAGGTTGCTTCATACTCACAAACAATGCTCCAAACACAGGTGTCAGTCTTGGGAGCAGACACAAATATAAAAATTTCTTCAAACCAGCTGCCTATACATGGTGGTTAGACTGCAGTTAAGGATGTAAAATAGTAAAATAGTTTTTAGTTTACATTTTAGTTTACATTTAACAGACTGCGGAACATTAACAAGATGATACATTGTAATTAACATACAACTTCACAACAACTAAAGCCTTACCTCTGGAAGACTGCCTTGTCTTCTGCAGGCATAGTCTGGTTACCTCTGTCAGAAGTCCAGCAGAGAAGATTAGTCATGTTGAACAGCTGAGATTGCTGTTGTACAAGGCAAGCATTTGCATTCCTCTATTTCCACAAAAGAAAGCAGCTGGGTGGAATAAAGCGTAGTTGCAGTACACATTTGAGAGGGCTTCTGTCATGAAGTTTGTGAGTTTGAATTTTTACGCTAAACTTGTGCCCAGTAGTGGTAACCAAACCAAATTATAGTACTGACCGTGTAGAATCAAACAAAGCTTTCAGAAAAATCTTCCTGGCTAATCTCTTAGCAAGAAGCTTCGATTGTCAGAATCCTATTTGGGTTTCTTTTAAACTTTGAAGCTAAGAACACATCTCCCAGGTACATATATCATTCTGCATAGTATCTGAGGACTACAGTTGTGCTTTATCAGCAGAGAGATCCATCCTTGGCAGAGGACTGCTCATCAACTACCACTAATCCACACATACGCTTACCACAGTATGACTATACAAGGTAGCCAACTTCAAAGTTACTAACTTTATTACTACCTGATTGCAATTTTATAATTGATAGGAAGGAGAAAGTCATTGCAGAGGCCAAACTGCTTTGAAACAAGCCTCCAGAGATATACCTCTTTTCCTCACTGCAACAGGACTAAAACTTCACAAGAAAATACTACTTTGTTTGGGCCCTTAGTCAAGCCTTTAGGAGATAATCAAAACCTTCTGAGATCAGTTTGCTTGGATCATGGCTGTATTTAGGTGAAGAGGTGACTCAGTTGTATCATGAACTTCCTTTGTTCACAACTTCTGCAGCCCTTCACCAATGTCAGGTAAGTGGTTCTTCATATCTTCATGGTTTTGAACTAATGGGGGAAAAAAAAGAAAAGGTACAGAAATCTCTTTTAGGAGGCAGAAGTTCTTCATACAGCAAGTTCTATCTAGAAAACAACAAGAAATTTTGTAAGGACTGTTAAATACTATGTAGAACGGTAAAGTTACAGATACCACACCCTATTAATAAGTAGGTTTAGTGGTGCTAAACAGAAAACAGGTGACACTATAAACATGAGGGAAAGTTCAAAAACCAAATAAGTTAGCTAGGTATAGCTTGCTGCAGGGTACCATGCAAAATATGATCTTAACATTTTAAGCATGTGATACTTAGGTTAAAACTGGGTTTTTTCTTTTGTACCATTTTCAATCCCAGCAAGTGCTGCTTGCTTGTCAGTTTCTGACTCAGCTTCATTTACATCTAAATTGTAATCGACATCCTTGTCCTGGTTCACTTCTTCACGTTCCTGTTTGTCTGGAAGATTAAAATTAAGTCATTTTATGCTATACCATCTGCACACAAGAAGAGTGACTGTAAACATCTTCCACAGAATTACACTGCTGCTGAAGGAATTGCTGTTCTGAGTAGGTTTTTATATTATTTTTCCTTTGAAGTGTTAATTTTCAGAGCAACTTTGGCTGTAAATCCTGTCAAAAGAAGCAGATAAAAGACAATCTTTTGGGATTTGCAAAGCATAGCAAAATCAGCTAGCCCTCTGATGAACATAAAGATTATTTTATATAATTTTATATAAAGAAAAATTACACAATTTCAGAATGTATTAAATGAATGCCTAAGGAAGGGCAAAACCTGAAGTAATTGCTGAAAACCCCTTCTTGTTTTAGCTTGTCCAGCAAGCAGAATGCTATAACTAAAGCGTAAAGTGTTATATGATGTGGCAAATTGTCACAAAAGTACTTTTTTCTCCCAGAAGATTTTCTTCACCCAGTCATTAACTCCTCTCAAGCAACATTTACTGACTATCAGATTTCTTTAGATAGAGGACTCAGATATAAATTGAAACATCCATGTTTTTGAAGACTCACAACAGTCAATGTCAGATACCTGAAGTCTGAGTTACCAGTTTTACTCATGGTAGCTTATTTTGAAATAGGAATAGCTAGTATTCACACACTGACATTGTAAAAAGACTAACTGCAAAACATCCACGTGTAAGTGCTCTACTCATCAGTGCTTTGGATGATTAACATCTTACTCTTTTCAAATGCATCATATTCTTTTAAAGCCCCAATACCAAAAAGTTTTGGGGTGAATTTCCCTAAACACTTTGTAGAGCCACTGGAGAGACAGTAGGGCTGTTACAGTGATGCAGAGAAACTCAGCCTGGCAGCTTCATTTTGCACAATCAGAAGCCTGCATCTTTAATGCGTGGATTGTAGGTGACTGCTTCGGACTGACACATTCCACACCACACTGACCTTTAAGAAAACTTGTACTAAGTCTGGCCAGCTTCCACCACTGTTGCAGAAATTATGTCCTACTCCACACTTTAATTTCTTTATTTTTCATTTTGTTACTGTTTTTAACAATACATGACATGCTACAAACCAGCCTTTCCAGGGAGCAAGTCATCCTGCTTATCATCATAACTTAGGAACTGTTCCCGCTCAACTTCCTCACTGGCAGCCTGCTCTGCAGCTGGCTCTGACATATCTTGCCCAGCTACATGTTTCTCATTCTCAGGTGGACTTGGTTCCTTCTCTGACACAGGCAGCATCTCCTTGTGACCTGCAGCAGCCTTGAGCAACTCTTGAGGTTTTTCCAACTGATTAGAAAGCTGCTCCTCTTCTGCCTTAGGCTCCTGTTTTCTCATGTCAGTTAGGCTGTCTGTTCTTTCTGAAAACAACAAAAATGATTCTGAGTTTAAAAACTAACGCCTTCCAGAGTGGCACATGTTAAAAACCTTTAATAAAGAATGCTTTGTATTTCTCACTAAATTATTGGTTTTCCTCTGAAAGAGTATCTTCCAATCACACCAGTACCAGATAAGAGAAAGACAACTTACTGTTCCCAATTCCTAACTGGGAACAACTAAATAAGGGAATTTCATTTACTGTCAACAGATTAATGCTTCTATATCCTTAAAATTTTGGTATGTGTGGTTAATAAATTGGGCAAGTGAAACAGAGCAGTTTAAATAGAAATTGTGGTATATAAGCATTAGGTTTCTCTGCGTTACATCTTATTACCAACAATAAAATTGATTTGGTGTTCAAAAGTAGCTCAAGACAATGCATCACAGGCAGATTTGCAAGTATCCAAGCCTGTTCTTGTTTAAGTGCAGGAGTACTATAATTTTTAGTTGACATTAACATACATCTTTTCTCACATATCTGCATTTTTAATTTAAAAAACCAATTAGATTTCTCAACTAAGCTATATGTAGACACTGTCTTCAGCTGCTAGCCCTCTAAAATGAGAGTTGCATGCTCACAAGATTGTAATTTAAGATAGCATGTAAAAGTAATTAAATTTAAGAATTTAATTTCTATCACACACTACAATGCAAAACAGACACACAGGGATGCATCCATTCAAATAAATATTATCTAAAGTTTAGGCCAAAAGGAACCATTAGGCTAACTAACCTAAAGCCATGTGTATCATTTCTCTCACTTGCATTTCTCTCAATGACAACATATGGGAAGTATGGATGTGTGTTTGATGTAAGCCTAACTTTCAGCTATTCCACAGGGAGGAGGGGTACCAGGTTGAATATGTCGAACTTATTAAGAAAGCAAATTTTAAGTATGTTTTAAAATTTTTCCTTCCAAAAATTGGGTATTTTCTCCATATTAAATTAGGAGGATGACTCCAGAATTGTAAATATTTCTATTTTCTGTTATGTGCAACATGCCATACTACAACAAAACAGAACCAACAAATCCAAGCAAGTTTTCCTTCAGCTGGAAACCTGATTGATGTTCAGATTGTTGGTGTCACTTTTTTCACCCTTATCTGGTGTACAAAAACATTCCTAAATGTTCAGTTGAAAAAGAACTGTTCTCAACAACAGTTGTTAGTGAGACAAGGATTTCCATCTCACCTTTAACCTGCATCAGGTCTGTCTTTCTTACTGTAGGTACTGCTTTAGGAATATTTTCATTGGTTTTCTGCTGCTCCAAGTCATCCTGCTTGAACCCTGCTTGCTTCAAGGCTGGCAGTTGAGTATCAACCTGTAAAGTGAATACAGCAGATAAGCACTGGTCTATATAACTGCACATGGATTTGAAAGGGAAGTAGAATTTAGGTAAGAATTTTGCATGGGAAAAAAATCCCAACACACTTGGAAATATTTGGACTGAAATTTTTATTGGTAATAGATGTAGTGTACAACTCTGTCTATGCAGTAGTGTTTCTATGTAACAGCATAGCACATCAGGAGAATTTTAACATACCTTATTTAACTGCAGCTAATGATGAGATTACTGCCCTTGATTATTCTCGGAGTGTTACAGAACAATAACACCACACATTTATCCACTGTTGTTCTGCTACTGTGTCAGGGTCAGCTGAGCAAATAAACAGATGCCATTTACTATTAACAGTCTACAGGGCAAGAAAACTGAATGTGGTCATCCTTAGACTTCAGCTGAGTAAGGCTTGTATAGAACCGGTCTGTAACTATATTAAATGCAGGATTAAGAAAAGTGTAAATTAACCAACTAGAAAATAATACCTGTTTAACATGATGGAACTTGCTTAAGAATGCACTAAATTCTGGTGATAGACTGCTGTAAACATCCGACCCACTTAGATATCCAGCCTAAGATGTACACCATCTTGAAGATCTGCCCACTGGGCAATTAAAATTTTATGTATGATTTTTACTTACACTGGCACTGCCTCCCTCACATGGCCCTGTATGACAGAGCTGGCATGTTTGCCTCCCTGAGGCCCCTTTCCATCTCCTCCCCATCTCTGGATCTAATGGCTAGTAGTCCTGCATTTGGTGCTATCCCTGTCCCTCATCTATAGCATGGGGAACAGGGAGCTCAGGAATGCCATGCCACCATCTCTCCATAAATTACTCCTAGACTACATTAATTAAACATTTGGGGATGTAGGTTTGTACTATACCTCTTGAGAAACACCGGACTCAACTTATGATTCACCATTAATTCCAGGTGAAAATGAAAGATGGTTGGTGAATTGAGGAATGTACACAGCGGCTTTCACACAGGTGAAATTAAGAACACCCAAACTCTAGGACAGGAATCTAAAGCTGCCTGTAGAGAATGGTGATTCTCCAGCTACAGCAGCTACAGCATGTTTCTGGAGTTGAATGGAGGTAGAAGAGGTTTAAAAAGATGGGATGGCCACAATTCCCCTAACGTAGTCCTATGGTTCCTATGGTACCCCTTGTAGCACTCAGGCTCTTCTCTTCATGGTCTTTGCTAAAGCAGTCAAGACCCTGCTTGCCCTGATAGCTGGTGTTATTCTTTCCCCACTGTCATCTCAAAAACACTAAATTGAAGGTATAAAGCCAGGGCCAGTGGGGAAGGAGCTGAGCTGAGCTGTTTGTAGATGACTTTATGAGAACAAGCAAAGAGAAAGACTTGAAAGGAAAAAGACAGAAAAAGAAAACAAAAATATAAGCTCAGATATGGGGTTATCTGCCTGGCAGCCCTGCATCAGGGACTTCAATGGGACAAAGAAGCTACAGTTGATAACTCCAAATAAAGGTCTGTTTCCACTGACATTGGAAACCAATCATCTCCCAGTCATCATCAACTCACTGCATTACCATCACTGCTCTCCAGAACCACCCCAAAGGAGGTAGTTGTATCAAGGTAGGGATCAGCTTCTTCCAGGTAACAAGAGACAGGACAGTGGGAAATGGCCCCAGGTTGCACCAGAAGAGTTTTAGATTGGATATTAGGAAAGTTTTCTTCACTAAAAGTGTGGTCAGGCTTTGAAACAGGTTGTCCAAGCAGAGGAACTGCCATTCCTGGAAGTTTTCCAAAGGTGTCCCACAAAAATTTGGCACTTGGAGACATAGCTGAGTGGTGAACACAGCATTGCTTGGTTAATGGTTGGACTTAGAGTATCTTCAGTATGTTCTGACCTTAATCATGTTATGATTCTATAACTGGCAGAGGACTATGTCAATTCAATTCATGCAAACATTGAACATTGAACATGAAATACACATGGAACCCATTTTGCTCTATACCTTATACCAGTTTGGTGAAAAAAAAACAGAGTGTTATAAATCCGTTTGTTCTGTGGGGTTTTTTTTGTTGCACTTTTGATTTTGTTTCATTAAAAAAAAAATAAATTTAAAAAAAAGCCAAATATGCAGAGAAAGAACTAGCATATGCACATTCAGAGATACAAACCTTTGTGTCAGGTACCATACAAATGAATGGGCAGTCTTATGGTATAGGAAGACTCACAGTTGACAGAATTGTTTTCTGTTACCAATTGTCATTGGTACTGTCAAGAGTGTAGCTTCCCATTTATCCAAGGAGGGCAGTAAAACAAGGGCAATAAAACGCTATATTCTCAAATGTTCATTCAGTCACTTGGAAAAATGACCACAGAAAGAAGTAGCTAAGTCACCAAGAAGCCAGAGCTGCAGCATGACTACCTGGTTGTTTTGAAAAGCATTTAATTTCCATCAAAGCCAGGCAAAACAAGATCTTTTTGTGTCAACACCATGAAGCCCAGTATCAGCAACTAATCTAGCATTGATCTTACCGATGTATGATAAGCAAATGGTACTGCAGAATATTTGGTTACTGCAATAAAGATATTCAGAAGAACTCCATCTTCCTTGAATCAGTAAAACAAAAATGCTGTATTTAAAAATGGTTCTATTCTATAAATAATTCAGCTCCTTAAGATCACTCTCTGTAGTTATCAGAAAGTGAGCATAAGACCATTTTTCGCTTTTTGTTGGGCATGAATTATTCTGCAAAAATACTGAGCCTGGACTTAATAGCAAGAAGTTACCTCTTAATTACACATGCAAAATCACTTTACTTACCTTAAATTTCTAGCTACGTAATTCTTAATGTCAAATATATTCAAAGGGTATATGCTGATTTTTTAAGTAGTTGGATAAAAAGATAGTAATTGAACAAGTTGTATTTTCTTCAGCCAAGAAGTATACATCATTCTTCAAATTACAGAGCTCTAAGTAAAGCTGTTTAGTTATTAACCAACCAACACTCCATTTTTTTTTCTGTCTTAAGACAGACCTTCTATTACATAAGCACATACATCTTAAAAATAGGAATTACTCCAGCTTAAAACACTGGACAAAAACATACATAGATTGTCAGGGTCATCTTGCACAAACTATAATATGCTTTTGTAAAAGCAAAAGGTTGATACTCTTGGGCAAGCAAAAAACTGAGAAAGTTACAGCATGGCCAAAGAAACACTGCCACATACTAGGGAACACAAACAGACAGAAATTATTTAGGCAATACCTATATTATCCATTAATTCCTCAAGTTCCTTCTCAGATAATTTATCTTGCAAACTGGAAATGGTAAAAAAAACCCCCAAAAATGCAGAAACAAACAAAGCAAAGGAATCTAGTGCAAGTAATTGTAATTAAAACCTATTGCAAAGCCACACTAAAAATTACGTTGACCACCTCTTTATTAGGGTCTTCCCTAGGTAAACTTTCTTAAACAAGATATATTTGACAAACTAACTATATCATCTCCAAATGATGCAAGTTCTATTTACTTACAATGATGTATTTATTATTTACTTTTTATTTACTTATTTGATACTGTTTATAAAAACTATTGACAAGAGCTGTAACTTTTATTTTAAGGTATAACTGGATATCACTTCCTGTTTCTAATGCTTCTTTGTGAAAGCTATGTTGCAGCTTTCACATAGTGCAGGTTCCCAGAATAAAAGGTCACTTCAGTACAACACTTTAGTAGTTCTGTCTCCCCCCTTTTACATAAAGGACTGGACACATACTGAAACCATTACCTATGGGAATCTCTGGGCAGAGGTTTTAGCTGTTTTCTCACACGCGTTCTCACCTCTTTGTAAAACCAAGATTCATTCCTCACTGCCTTACCCTTTTCACTTCTGAAGCCATCAAATTCAGCCTTTTCCTAGCCAAAGAAAAAAGGGTATATTCCACTAAACCTCCACTGCCTTTGTAATGAGAGTAGGCCACTCAGGTAGAGTGAAAGGCCCTACTGCAGTCACGTGTGAAAAGTCTAACTTCTAAAACCTCTGTTTCTTCAGTAATCCTGAAGAAAGGGCTATTTTGGTACAGAAATAAACTGGGTGCTTTCCCACCCAAGAGCTTGACTGCCTCTCTCCAGGGCCATCCATACCAAGCTTAATCAATCCTATCCCTGACCAAAACCCATATCAATGAAGAAGCATGAATAAATCACATGCCATGATAACAGAATGAACTGAAATTACCTTTTCTCAGGATTTTCTGCCACCCTCTGCACCCCAGGAGAAAAAGCCAGCTAACACGCAGCCAACCTATTTGCCAAGCCTGCCCTACCGCAGTGAGCCTTCATTAGGTTCAGCAATGAATTCGTGATTCTTTGGCTCAGAATATCTGACATCAAACAGCTACGATATTTGATTATCCCTTTATTCCTACAGTAAAATGCTGACATAAAGGATCATCATAGTTGATGATCTTTGGACTACAATATTCAGGGTTTGCTGCTTCTCTGAAGTGATTCACAGCTTATCCTCACCCTTAACACACAAAGCAACTAAGTACTTCAACAAAGTCAAAAGGTATTATTAACTAAAGTTCAGTTGTGTAAATATTCCTTAATGGAACCCACACCACTTCTGGCATCACCGCTCAAATTCTGCCCATCTCAGAGATGGGTGATTTGGAATCTCCTGCAGGACATGTCTTTGTTCTGAATTTGAAATCACCCCATTTCCCACTGATCAGAAACATTCAACAAATGCTGAAGAAGTGAAAAATTTAATGAGATGGAGAAACGCTAATAGGAGATAGCAGAAAGGTGAAGAATCAGTTAAGAATTTTGAAAAAAGTATTTTCAAGAAATTATCCAAACCATACCCGTCTATCTTCTTTGACGTCTTTGTTTTGTTTGATTTGTGGTACATCACTATTCTTTTTTCGAAGTTCATCTATCCTTTCTTCACATTGTTCTTTTAATTCTTTCATCTGGTTGATGCACTGTGAGCTGAAAAAAACACGAACAAGAAGATTAAGTTTCATCTAGACTCTTCTATAGGGTAATTTTGTAAAATTATCTATTTTTTTTTCCTTCATATATTTATGTTTTTCTTTACGTTTTATTATTGCCTTAATTCTACTACCTGGTTTTACATTTGAGAAGTCACTAGGAAAAAATGAAGCATTGACCTAAGTCCTAAGGACAAATTCATAGTGCAGGCAAGTTCTATTGGAAGAAATTAATTTAAACTATTTTGTCTGACCAGCTCAACAAGCTACATGATTTTTCCATTATGTGTTTGCTAACTAGTCAAGTCCAGGTAAGTTAAAATCAATTTTGATCCTCGAAGCATTTCTAGTATGATTACAGAAATTCATATTTTGATTTTAGCCAGAAAGACAAAACAGAAAAGTATCAGCTGAAATAGAAAACAGATGTAATCTAGTGTTAGCAAACTGAACACACCTCCACAGTATTTCAGCAAAGTGCAGCGCTGCAAGTTGTAACAAAACATATGTTACAGATGTGGAGTTCACTAGTAGCTACTCTAAGTTCCAGAAGGAACATATTCTAAAGATGCAAGCACTGTGTATCTTTTAACAAACTTTTAATAGTTACAAAGCACCATCAGGATCTCAACCTTTGTGACAGCAGTCTTCTATCTGCATCCATGCAGCCTGCCTTTCCCTCACAGCTCCCTAACTCCTAGCTAAGGTCTGCTGTTTGCAGCAGTGCTTTTCCTAAAGCTGCCAGGGCAGTGTTCTCCCCTTCTGCGGATGTGCTGGAGATTCTGTGCAAAGCCCAGGAGTTTTGTCAATCTGTTTCTCAAGGCAAGTGGCTGCAGTCAGGGCAAGATCATCCTTTCTCTCCCACTCTTTTCTTTAGCCATTTTATAGCTTTCAGTTTATATCAAAGGTAGAACAAGACCTAGTGAATAACAAACCAAGACAAGCATTATCCCATAATACACACACAGAAGCCTTAGAAACTAGTCATCATGTGACCCCAAGTATGCTCTGACCCCACTGTGAACAAGAACAGCAGTTTGAGTGGATCCCAATAACAAATGTGTCACACTAGGGGAAAATACATCAACTTCAGTATCCACTGCCCTGGAGAGCCTGCCCAAGGAAGAGCAGGCTCTTGGCTGGGGACGACATTTTCTTTTCCATGCTAATCTAGCAACAAAGAAGTTTTATGGGATTTTTAAACCTTTTCTCCTTTCTCTCTCTCCTCTGTTTTTCCATTCAAACCTAACTTCCAGTTTTTATACATACAATCAGCTACAGACCTTGCAAACACATCTTTCTGCATTCGAAATCTTTTCCAGCAACCTTTATACAACAGCATGGTCAACATACTGCAAGTTTCTCATCCCCATCACTAAGACTAAGAAGGGGGGTGAATTTCTCCTTATTCTGGCTCTGACCAGTGTTATTCTAACACTGGTCTAACACTCTCAATACCCTCCACGCAACAGCAGCTGCTTCAGAGAGGCATGCTGCAGTTTCTCAAGCTGAAAATAAACTACTGTGTAATCCAAAGGAGTTTCCAGGCTATGTGCACTTTATCACAGCAAATGACTCATTTTTATTGCACTTTCACCATTCTCCAGCCCTGCCTTTCAAAGGCAAAAAATCCCTTCTGTAGTTCACACCTAGAAAGGAAGAACAGTAGCAGACAGATATGCTAACTGACTTACTACCTTTATTATGACTTCTTGTAGACCAGACACTATTCTAACGTCTGATTTGACAGTGCTAATACATGGAAGAGTCACCAAATAAGCCATGCTTTAAACTGGTGAACATCAAAGACAGTAAAACAGAGTAGGCTTGAGTTATACTCACATTCACTATTTTCTAAGAAATAAAATAACATATTAATTGTGTAACAATTTGCAAGTTTAAAAAAGATGCAGTACACAGACAACCTGATGTCAGAGACAGAGTATTTGAGAAAGCTTGCACTTTGATCCCACAATGCACATGAAAGTAAAGCTCAGTTAACATCTGTGACAAACTGTCACCATTTTAAGCTTATTATCTGTAACAGAATTTCCTTCTTTTAAATGAGACTTGAATACTCTACTCATGCTTACAACAGCTTCTAGAGTACAGGGATAGCCTTAGTTTATCCATGCAGTTATGCAACAAACAAAGCTCTTTAGGAACAAAAATGCATTTGAATATTGGAATGTATTCAATAACAATTTCAAAAAATTAGTCCAGAGGCTTCTGTTTCACTCTGGCTGCTGCAGGAGAGAAGGATCGGTGTGCCAGTGAGCCTTTGCTGTAGAAGCTCTAACCATGACCAGACAGCATTGGGCACAGTGCACACCAAGGGTACATTGTGAAGCTGACTGCTGAGGAATGCGCACTCCTTTTGCACACAACACCACTAAAGAAAGATAGCTCCTGCTGACTTCTGCATGGAAAACACTAAGCTTGTACCAAAAAACGCTAAGATGAAACTTCAATACTCCAGTACAAAAAGACAAAATTTTTTTTTTTTTTCCTTCTAAGTTCATAGATTTTTGTTCTTATGCATTCCATATGCACAACTGCGTTTACCACTGTCTTCTACAGAACAGTAACTGAATGTTTAAGAAGAGTAATTTACAATGTGCCACTTGAAAAAGACATTTGGCTTCTGTCATCTTTTTATAACATTCTCATTATTTTTATACAAATAATATGGTTTCTCTATTTTTGCACTGGGCACAGTGTACTTGCTACCTAAGGCGCAAAACCTTCATCCATGCAAATCCAGGTAAAACAAAGAAGCACATAATCAGGTCTAATGCCCCTTCCTGGCAAGGCAGATGAACAGAGAGGCAACATAGCAGTTTATTCCTAATTGGGAGGGGAGGAAGGAAGACAGATTAAAAATAACATTTGGAGTCTTTCCAATAATTCTTATTTTTCTAAGCCCACAATCACATTGGGAAAAGGCTGTTTGTAAGCATTTAAAGTGACAGTATTAAGTGAGCATGTAGCAAAGAGGAACATATGTAGCCAAGCACCACCATATATTCATTTCTGCAATTACCTAAACAATGTAAAGTTAGTTGTGTAAATTAGTTTAGCGGAGAAATATTAACATTGCAACATCCTCCCTAAAGGTAAACAACAAACAATGTTTTAAAATTACATGCTCCTCCTAGAACCGTGTGAATACTGCACAGTACTGAAGCTATAAATTATTTTATGAAAATTTGAGTCCAAAGTTTGTTTTCCTCACTTGTACTCTTAGGAAAAAAGTCTAGAAACAGAAAATGAACATTTAAGTATTTTGCAGCAAAGCTAGTGAAGGCAGCATTGCTCCTTGGCTGAGATAACTGCTTTTACAGACTCCCATGGAGGCTCTGCAGGGAATGGTGCACCTGCCTCAAGACCAGCCAGAAATGGACCAGCTAGCTGAGTCTCTGTTCAACTGCCACATGGCTGATTTATCACACTTGTCTCTATACTTACCCTCATAAAAGCAAACCCATTTTTACCACTGTATCATGCTTAGCTCTTCACCTTGAGCCAGACCACACCTTGGAGCTAGGCTGTCTGAATACAAACTTCCTTTGTTAAACAAAGAGGGATTCTTTAGGGTACACTACCACAAACAAGGGGTGCTCTGTCAGTGATTTCCTCAACACAGCCATGCTTGTAAACACTTCACCAGATATGGGTAATAAACCTCCAAGTTTTCATAAGCCAGACTAACAACATTTGCCGTGCAGCACTTCCCTGTACGTGTATATCAATCCAGCGCTTAACAGGTGTACCTCTTGTGTGGAGCATGACTGTCCAGCAGATAGAGATATTTGTGCTATATACAGATCTATCAGATCCTGCTGATCTCAGACTTAGAAGACAACACTGGAAAACAGACTCAGTGACTATCACAGAACGATTAACAGAGGTCCATGGGTGTCAGGTCTGTCATTTAGTTAAACAGCCAACAGACAGTGCTTAACAACCAGGGTACACAACAAACACGGGGGGAGAGGCCCCTTAATACACAGCTTATTGAAAAGCAGGTACAAACTAAAGTTTCTGACTTCCTTCTCATTTTCTGTTAGAAGTCTTAAATTCTCCACTAATGTAATCCATCCAGGTAATCTTTATTGCACGAGTAATAATCCAAAAAAAGGTGACAACCAACTGGTAATCAGTAAGTATCACAGAAGCACTAGTATTAATCTGCAATTCTAAGGTGGAGGGACAAATAAAAATAAGAAAATATTTACTTCAAGTGTAGCCTGCAGAATTCAAGTTATTTGAGTGTCATGTTCCACTTTCAGTTATAATTCCTACAAACCTGGCTAAATAATGGCTGCTGAAAAAATACCTATCACTACAACAATTACATTCTTGATGGAACATCATTATGAGAACATACAAACAGTAAATTCTAATGCTTTTTTATATCTATGCACAAGGGGGAAGATATTACAGATTGTGAAGGCAGGTAGAAGAAACAAGAATATTACTGAGCAGAAAGAACTGAGGAGAAATTCCTAGAAATACCAGAAATGTGTGTTTAGTATAAGGATACTGATAAGTAACTTTCAGTTATCCATGCTTTAAAATTCAGTGGGAAATATTAAGAAAAAGCCATGACTAGGTATGCCATGTAAAGCAGAATACATGAGTTTGACGGTACCAGAAATTCCCAAGACCTCTGTCAGTTCAATAAGGTACAGCTTCTCATCAGGTATTCCCCTACCTCAATTCAAACTTCTTCACAGTTTAACTTCTTGCTGTTTCAATTTTCCCATACAATTCTTAAGTGATAATATTGCTGCCTTTATCCGCATGCAATAGAAGGAATATCAAGAAGTTTCTGGGCATAGAGAAGAAAAACTGTGGAAAGTTAATGCTATTCTCCAAGATCAGCTGTGAGCAATTTTAGATGAGTCAGATGTTACTGGTCTCTTTAAAAACATGTATTTACTAACAGAGCTATAGCTAACACAGGAATACTCTGGGTTATAACCAAGTCACCTACAATTTGGGAAGCCAAAATTTCCTAAAGAACATACTTACAGATCATATGAGAACTTCCTCTGAAGGTTAGTCTGGTTCTTCTGAAACCAGTAAACATCCAGCTGTAGCTTTCCATATTCCGACTGCAACTCTTTCAAGTGTTCTGGTCAAAGCAGGATTAAAATACACATTAAGATACACATATACATATAGATTCTAAACCAGAAACATCAAGAAACAAATTTCCAATAACAATGCTAAATTTATTAATCTGTCATGCAAACTGCTTTTCATAAACAAATGCATAGATAATTGTTGAATTTATTCAACAAGGGTGCATGGGATCTGGTAAGAATAACCTTTCAGCATAATATATTGGCAAAACAGTATAATACATATTTTTACCTACTTTTCCTCTTAAGGAATACACAGAACTGATATGCAAGCCCTGCTAAGTTGCAGTCTGGAAAACCTTTACATTTGTGAAATCATAATCACAGCACAATATAAAACAGCATTCACATTTATCAAGCTTGCAATGCTTCCCTGAATAATATGTAATGTATACCCATGTCCCTTAGCAACAGAGGCATCTATGATTTAGTGTTTTCTTCCTGATAGAAACCTCTGTGAGACGGCATCAGAAGACAACACCACAACATACATACTTCATAGGATTCATTCCCAAGTACCCCCAGAATACATTGCTAACAACAATTTTGAAACACTACCATGATTAGAAATTAATTCGACTGACTTTTTAAATTTAATATAGGATTTGTGAATTCCTCTGGTGCTAAAATGCATGACCCCACACCTCAGGGAAGAATGCAAAAATATGTTGCCAGGTAAAATGAAGAAAAAAATGATGTAACTTAGTTCTATTTATATTCTATCATAAGAGTCAGGAGTACTACATCAAGCACTACATAGACAAATCCTCCTACTACTGTGGCAGATTAGACTGACACTTAACTGGAACCTTGCGGATGAAATATCTAAGTCATAGCAGCTTCTGTACCACCCCCATGACTTGAAGAAAGGCAGCATTCTCATAAGACCATAGAAAAATCCAAGTCTTAAAAACAGGGAGCCTAAGAATCAGTACGAGAGCGTCACAGGGGTACCACAACATACCTCGTAGACTCTGAATCAGTCGATCATTTACTGTAATGTTACTCATCAGCAATGCCTGAAAGAAGCAGGAAAAACTCCAGTGTTTTAATTGCAAAGGACCTGTATTACCATTATAAACAACACCTATCAAAGCACTTGTAACAAGATCTACTTTTTGTGCGCCACAGTTCTGACAGTGTCACAGTTGAACAAAACCTTTTAGCTGCTTTAGAGATCTCCTACTGCAAACAACATTCACTTTAACCCAGATTTTCCAGTATTGGGGAGTGAGGGAAGATATCACCACACAAATGAAAAGAGGAAGAATTTAAAGGAATTTATAGATACTAAAATTGCTTTTCACTTTATTCTAATTTCATCTCATTACTGGAGTCACAGTCAGACTTTATTTATCTCTTGAAGGAAGAACACAACATCACAGCTCACAATCAATTACCCTCTCACTCAGGAATCGATACACATGTATTCAGGCATGCAAAGATAAGCTATGAAAGCATTCATCATTCAGCATAAAACAACTCCATGAAAGCAATGTGAAACCCTTGCATTGTATCCCTTTTCTACCTTTTTTCTTGATTGCTTTCATGTTGGAGTGGCCTTCCTCCACTCCTTCACTTTGTTCGCCCTCTCATTCTGAAGAGGTAGTCAACATAGGAACATGTTTCGTCTATTCTTACATCAATCTCCATCTACCATTTCATATACACACATTCCCCAAAACACATGAAAACTGAATCAAGTCACAGCTAAGTGAAATTGTTCCTGTGAGGCAGATGCCAGGATAACTCAGATTCATATGCATAAGTTAGCAAGTCTGGTGCACAAGAGTTCTTAAGAATACAAAAAAGAGATCCACTGACTCTTCAGAAACAATCCAGTACAGCCTTAGGAAGGCATTTCTCAGGTTTCATTGTCAGTTTCCCTACTATCCTTGTCCTGGGAAACCTCAGGGTTCTTCAATGGTCCCAGAAATCAACTCCTCTGTTGCCCAAAGTTTCTGCTCTAGTATTGATGTGTGTGTATGTCCACACCCAAAAAGAAGTTGCAGCATCCACTCTGTCTGCCCAAGTCACCCTGAAACACTGACAGCATTGTTGGCGCCTTTCTTCCCAAGACCACAGTAATAAGAGCCAGCTGACTGCATGAGTGCAGCGTTCAATAAATCTGAGTGGAACAGGACCCAGCAGGGCAGCAGATTTATCTTCGAATGACCCTTTAAAGAGTCACACTTCACAGAGGTGGTCATTCAGCTGTTGCTAAGTATTTCTACACCATTCTGTATGTACAGCTGTTTTGTGAACACCGCCATGAAACCTCAAGAAAAAAAGGTCATGCTGTAGCAAAAAGAAATTCAAAAAACAGTAACAACTTGTATGTAGGATCGTTTATCTCTCCCTCTCCTTTCTCACAGGATAAGTAAATAAGAAATTCACTCTTTTTCACTGGTTTATTAGGAAAAGGAAATTAATGTTTCACTAGAAATTCCAAGTTTTGCTATTGTGTGGACAATGTAGACACGTTGTTCCAGGATTATTACCTTCAGGATAATACAGCATTGGCCACTACCAGAAACTATCAGTGGACTAGAAAAATCAGCATGATAGAGCAACTTATAATTGTATATTCTTAGAGTTTTTTGTGGGGCTTTGTTGGTTTTGGTTCTATTTATTGGGGGGAAAGGGGAGGGATGAGTGGGACCGAATGGGAGGGGGGGGTCCTTGAAATCAAACTCCTAAATGCCAGGATCACTTATGTGACAGTAAAACATACAAGTGTTACATGTTTTGAACATTAGGGCAATAATAACTGTGATTAGCTGAAGTAAGAAAAATTACTTTCCACATTAAAAAAAAGTCTCTTTGAATTACAGCAGGGAAAAAAACAAGTGTGCCTTGGTCTTTATGGATTGCATATAAAACTTCCTTTTGGCAATGCCACACCTATCTCCTTGAAAATGAGGGCAACAGTCCAGGCAAAAACCTGTTAAATCCTAGTTAGCTGTTTAACTTGAGCAGGAAACACTGTTTAATAATTTACAGCACAGCACTGCAACTGCCACCTTCCAATCACACTAAGTCAATAACATCAGGCTTTCCATTCTTCCTCCTATCATTCAAGTGTTAACTAATTTTCACTTTGTGGCTGTAAATTAAGCAAACATTATTTACTTTTGGGGTTTTATGCTGGTCAAGAAGGAAAACTGCTGGGAAGTACTCAGCAGACACATGCCAATACTCAGTTCTAGAAAGAAAATCACATTTTAAACTTCATTTAGCCCACAAAACAATAGCTATAATCCCCAGGAGCAAAAAAATCCAGCTTTGGAAAAATCCCCCTATCACCACACCAAAATCTGATATTCTGTGATACAGTAAATCTATAATATAGCTCCAGCTTATTCTACTCGTAAACATCTTTGCACAGAAGTCTTTATGACTACCAAAGAGGAAAAAACCAAATCTTTTGATTGGAGACAATGCTGTGGACAGCAGCGCTTCAGACATCGAAACTCAAAAGTCACACTTCCACCAGTAGTGTGGGAAACAAACTGCTCCAGATGTACAGCAAATTTTTAATAATAGCAGCTGAATTGTTTATTATTCACCACAGAACATGCCTACATAAGTATTATTCCAGTTAAGAGACACAAAGCTAAAGCTACTGTTTAAAAATAATAGAGCATAATGCAGAAATATGCATGAGGAAGCTCTGAGATAAATTATTTGAAGGGGTTTTTTTGAGCACATACTTTGGACTATGTAAATGCATTTGATCTGAATAATGCCAAACAGTATTCTCCATACACATATTCATTGGAGGTACTACTACAGTAACTCCTCCAGCATTTGCTACTATCAAGAACCAAGCTAACCCAAGCACATTGAACTGACATGTGTCCTTTCTAACACTGACTGTATGTGGTGGATGTAAAACTTAAAAAAAGTGGGCTTTGCATACACAAATATAGCACGAAGGAGAAAAAGATAAGCCACAGAATCAGTAACTCAACTGGTAGGAACAAAACCAGCTGTGAATAAAGCAGGATGGGAAGGTAAAATTTATACACGCAGAAACAGACATTTATAATTAACCAGGGAAAAGGAGAGCACTTATTTCATGATTAACTCAAACTGATTTAAGTCCTTCCAGCACAGAGAAAGAGCGGTTCTGTCTTGCATGCTCCCACAACTCCCCACACTATCCTGGCATTAGCATGAGAATAATGCTGGCAACACAATCATGTTTTGGTTACTGTTCAGTAGTGCTTGCACTTAGGCAAGGATTTGCCTGTTTCCCATGCCCTGCCAGCCAGCAGGTGCACAAGAAACCAGGAGGAAGCTCTGTCAGGTGTCCCAAACTGGCCAAAGGGACATTACTTACCACAGAACATAGGGACAGAGTGCAGGAGCTGGCCAGGAGGCATTGATAGCTGCTGGGGGACAAGTTGGGCAGCACCACACAGCACGCACTGAGCAACTGGATTGTGTCTATCTTGCTCTGTTGGGTTTTATTCCTATCAGTTATCAAACTGTTCTTATCTCAACACAGAGTTCTCTTCAAAAATCTAGAGGGAGATGTGGAGAGTGAGGAAGTGTCTGCATGATATTTAATTGCCAGCTGGTGTTAAAACATGAGAATTTACCACAAAAAGTCTCTGGTTCCAGGCCAAGAGACTAACAGCCAAACTATGTATTAATGTATGGGGAAAAAGTTGATAAATATGGTTTTAAGGAAATATTTCTCTTTAAAGTTCATCATTGTGTTGCACACTCACACTTCAGTGGAGGCACATCAATTAAGTAAGCCTTAGAACAAACTTCAAGCTCAAATGGAGGAGATATTGTTCATTGGAACCTATGTCCCAATAAACGGAATTCCATTCAGAAATTCCATTTTTCCTCAATAAACATTAAAAACCCCACCCAATCAACAAAAGAACCCCAAACAAATGAACAACCCACGCACCCAGCAAAACCCAAACCCAAAAAACCACCTCTGTTTCTACACAGTAGTTCTGCCAAAAATCTGAGACTCAACCTTGTATCACAGCCTGTGATAAAAGCAATCTAGGTTCTGTTTAGTCGCAGAGGACACAAGGACACACATACCATGACATGTTGCAGTTCTGCCTTCAAAACCACCAAAATTGCAAAGTTAGTTTCTTAATGTTTAAGCACAAAAGGGTGGGTATTTGACACACACAAATACAAAATTACTATTACAGGTACTGGGCAACAGCAAGTAGATTGGAGAAAAAAAAGCCCCCTGAAACTACAGGACTTTCACTTCACTTTATTCATTTCTCCTCATTTTTCATTTAACAAAACCCCAAATAGTAGGCAATGTAAGCAAAACAAAATCATATGATATGAGAATATTAATATAAAACTTCCACAGGTATATCTAATGCACCTTCTGACTTTTGTCCATTCATTTAGCTGTGAAGAGGTAGCAACATTCCAATAGTTAACTTCAAACTACATATGCACTAAATTCCCCCTCTCTAGTTTAGCTAGCCTCAGACCACTTTTTTTTTCTTTCCATCATGTGAAGATATATTTTGAACAGAGGTGATCTTCTAGACTTCTGCGTACTAGTTATGAGGAAGCATACTGACTTCCCTTGATAATTTAGTAATATTGTGCTGCGGCAAATATGGGACATGAGGCAGTGCTCTCCTACCTCAAAACTTTTCCAAAACTAGAACATGCAGCACTGTTTGGGTTGGAAAAAAAAATCAAAACCCAAAATAGATATAGACTTCAGTGAAAAGGAAAAGGTACCTTTCTACTCTCTCCTATGGACTACTGTAATTCCTTCTGAGTGGAGTCGACTCCCTGCATACTTTGTGTCAGAAGACTGCTAGGAATTGAAATTTTCCCAGAAGGAGGGGACCAGAGAGCAGCTGTGGCCAGTGTTAAAAGATACTGAGAAACAGGACAGTGACATGCTTCACATAGAACATACAAATCTTGGCCCTTCTCAGTAAAACAAGATTTGGGTAGGAGAAGATTTATGTAAATCCAAAGAAAACTAACAACTGCAAAATCATACTCATGCATTTCAGAGATATTAAACACATTGTTGCCCTGTTAGGCTCCTCAAAGAGACTTCTGTGGCTCTGTAAATCCCAGAAGCTGCAAGTCCTGAATAACAACCACATAGAATATACAGATTAGAAACAGCCTTTTTGCACTCCTGAACTGTTGTTATTGAGTGTTCAAGTAAGACTACTTGGTCTCATCACTCTACTTCTGCATGGAATAGCAGAAGCCATTTCCTAAATCTACACTAATCCTTAAAAATTCAAGAAGGTTTTTTTAAAAATAGACTGGGGGCAGTAGTGTTTCATACACACTCAGACCTAAGAAAATAACTACAACAGTAATTTTCCAGAACTACACTGCCCCAGTGAATGGTGAGCCCACACAAGCATAATACTCCGTTACAGTATAACAGACTCAGACTACCGACCTTCTATGCCCTCATCCTTCAAGTAGCTCAGAGACAGTTCTACTACAAAAGAAGGCAGATTTAACTCAAAGTGATTACTGCACTGCTAGTGACAATGACTTTAACTGAGCAAAACATCTTACTGGTGTTTTGGTTTGGTATGAAAGTAAATCAGTACTGTAATTATTCTGTTTTATCAGCAGAGTAATAAGACACAGCGAGCAGAGATGAACTGCAGTTATGATGTGTCTCAAATGTTACTTATGACTTGCTCTTGGTTAGAAGTCCAGATTGTGTGTCTCTCATATGTGAGTTTCCTCTACAGACAAAAGAACCGCAATTTCTTCCTCAAAAAGTGAAAGGTTTCAGAGGGACCAGTCATTCCTACAGAAGTGCTGAAAGCATTTTATTTTTCTTTAAGAACAGCAAGAACTATGCAAACTCTTATTTACGACTCGAAGATCTCTAGTTAGTTATAGTCTGTAAAATGCTTGTAAAATGGGTCGAGAGTCTCAGGATTTAGATTTGCATTCATTCTTCCTGACTAGGTAAATACTGGCCACTAATTCTCACAGAGTAAATATTCAGTTTAAGGAGAAAGCTTCCCACAATCAGAAAGGGTGAATTTATTACTTGCCTCCCAGGAATCCTAGATTCCACTGGAATCTATGGAGCCAAAAAACAAGGATATATGCTTATATCCTGTATATACCTTCATATCTTATACACTCAACATATGAACATACAAAATACATTTATACATGGACAGAGATACACACAAACAAAAAATCACTCAGATGCTGACTTTTCTTATATTCCATATCCCTCTGTAAAATAACCTCTGATCCTAGACAGCTTCTTCCAATGAAGGTCATTAGTGAGCAGAATTAAGGTTTCCCTATCTTAACTGCCACCCTATCCAAGGCATTCCTGAATTACAGTGGATGAATCCATAGCAACTTGGCTGATGTCTTCTTCTGACAAATGCACAGCTTTCCAGCAAAACAGCTCTCCCTACTCTTAAACTAGAGTTGGAAAACAAACAGCATATCCACAGGATATTTGCTGTGTGTCACAAGAAAAGCAAATTTTGAATTTGATACAAAATGGTGCACAGGCACATACCTGCTCACTCTACCACTTGAGGCTCCTGAGTGAGACACATGCTCTTTCCAGTCACAGAAAGCAGAAGTCAGGAAATTAGTCCAATGCACCACTTCCCTAGGGTATAACTTCCTGGGCTTTCTAAGCAAGCTTTATAGATTGAACAACTGTATTTTAGGGAGATAGAGGGAAAAGAATTTAGGAGGCAGGAATTTCAACTACATTGGCCCCAAAATCTACCTTTCCCAGCATCCCACCTCTAACACTGAAAAGCCAAATGAATTCCAAGGCAGCCATAAAGTACAGTATTTTCCAAGCAGCAGCTGCCTGTCTGAGGAACACATGGAGATAGAGCAAACACCTTGGAAGTGGGTTAGGTGTTTGTCCAAGGTCATCCAGTTGCTTGTTAACCTACACAGACCCACTGTAACTGGGTATTATGGATGCCACACACTTGCAGCTTCACCACCTATTGCATGAAGAGCACTACGTTCCGCTCAGTCTGAACTACAACTTGATCATGGCATTTGAGGCACATCAGTGAATGCAGGACAACCCTGCCTTCCCTCTCCAGCCACAAATATTTTCTGTACCATTTGGAATCCTGAAGATGACTGTCATGATTCTCCTCTGCTGACCCTTGTCCAGCCTGTAAATCGCACTCTGGATTCCTGTAGAGAAACTACTGCACAGATTTGGTGACCTTTGCTCCCCTCTCTATGCATTTCACAGCACTTCAAAACTCCACTGGTAACCCCCTCCACAGTACAACAATCAAGCCAGTGTAATTCTAAGCTGCTTTGTAACTTTTGCCTTGTCATTCACCCTTGCAATATCGCTGTCTGACCACACGGCTGCATAATATCTCTATAAGCCACTTCAACTCCAGGTGTGAACGTGTTCACTTCTCTCCCTCGCCTTTATCACCAGCTCTTTCAAGAGAAAACTCCAAGATAACTCAGAAGAAAGGCTTTCTTTTCCAGAAGCCACATTGACTCTTCCCCAGACACCACATTCCACCCCATGTCCAACAGCAGTTCTAGGTCTGTAAAATACCTGTTACTACTTCTCCTGGCATGGAGGCCACATTTTATGAACAGTTCCTGTATGCCCACTAGGCTCAAAAACACCACAAGGAAAGTGGATTGCGTGCTGCCACCTAACACTCATCTGATGCCAGAAATCTGAAGCAAAAAGATGGCACATCATGCTTGGCAGAAGCAACATTTCATTCACTAAACTTTTCTAAGAACTCCTGGATGAGGTCCTGTCACCCTCAACACCTGCCCCTCTTGCTAGCCTGTGCTGAAAATTCTCTGGCCAGCCCTTTCAGTGTCTTTTAGAAGCTCTGGCAATACCTGCCTATAGAAAGGAAGCATAATACTCCATTACATTTGCCCTTTTCTTACCTTTGAATTTTACTTTTCCCACTCATGCATGTGTTTTCACTCCTTGTAGGACTGAAGCAGAAAGCAAGAAAATGCCACAGCATTCAGGAGCAACACCCAATAACAGGAGGCAGAAGTGACAAGATTTGATTACTTACTTGAATACTGTCCGAATATTCTGAGATATCTTTTTTAAAAACGCACACATTGAAAAAAATAAATAGACAAACTATACCTCATCTTTTTAAAAGTATATGCAAGGACTGAACACAGGGAGAAGAGAGAAATTATCAAGGATACAGGTTTGTCTCAAAAGAGGTAAAAAGAATTGGTTTATTATTTACTGGAAGACTTGGAGTAAAGATTATTTCAAAATAAACTAATGATGTATGACATTGATGCACCCATTTTACCTTCCATTTTTAATAAATTTTTGTTCTTTTAAGTTCTTCAAAGATTAATCTGGTTATATTTTTCTCAGGCAACACATTTTGAGGAGCAAACCATTCCCTTACAGTGAACCTGCTACCTGAAGAGTACCTATCACCATCACAAGATGTGACTGTTCAGCCTTCTGAAGGTAATAGTCCTGGAAAGCTGATCTATAAACTTCAGTCACGAGACTCTATGAGAGAAGCAATTGAATACTCTCAACTAAATGCTTCTGTGAATACAGAGAAAATGGATATTACTGACTAGCAACTGCAATCAAAGTGGTATCTGCAACACAAGCAAAATACGCAGCAAACCAGTTTGCAAAATACTACACAGCAGGAATCATGCACACTGCTATTTAAATGGATTTGTTCACATTCTTCACAAAGGAATACCATTCCCCTGGTGAAGCTGAACTGTTAGGAGCCCTGCCATTAAAGTCTCACCTTCTCATATCTTCCCAATACCATTAAGTTTTTGAGGCAGAAAGCCAAGATGCCACAAAATTTGTAAAGCATTTAGAAATAAATGTCAATAATTTATGCTTACAAATATATTTGGGAATATATCTCTTAGTCCATCTTCCTCTTTTTCCTAATTTTTAAAACATTACTGTACAGGAAAGAAAGTGAAGGGACAATCCAAGTATGGTAACAGTTTATAGAGAGGATAAGAGTTTTATTCAGAACTGCTGTTACTTGCACTTTTTAGTATTTCAAAATTATACAACAAATACTAAAATGTCCATTCAAGGTCCATTTTCTCAATATCATACAATATAAAATGTTTTGCCACACCAGCATTGTCTGTAAGCTGCAACATGTGAGCACCACTTCCCACTGCAGAGTGTGTCTTGGTAAACTACAGTCTCACAGAAAACTGTGGCTAGGAAAAGTCCTACCTTCTCTTCCTGATGTGCTCTGTTCGCATTTTCCATCTGAAAGCTGTGCAAGGACTGGATTTTGTCAATCTGCTGTCGCTGCTTCTCTAGCTCCCCTTGGAATTCATTCTTTTTTTGTTCCACAGCACCCCTCTCCGCTGCCGCCCTGCGGACTTTGCCTTCCAGATCCATGACGCGACCCTGAGGAAGAGCAGATTAGCCAAAGCAATCAAAAAATGCTTCCCCCTTGTCAGAATCTTGTCCAATATATTCAAGGAATAGCAAATTTTACAGTGCTAACAATGCAGATATCACAAAAGTCCTGTGTCAGCCAGGGATACTAGTCATACACACAGACACACACTTCCGTAGTTTCACATAAATTAACAGGAGCGCATATTTTGTAAAGACTCTAAAATTTCTGTTAAAGATGAGAAAAATTAAAAGCTCAGTACTTGAGCATAAAAAAAACCCCAAAACATAAACATAAGAAAGATTAGAAACTACAGTCTTTCTGAAGTCAAGGTCAAACATTTTTTTAAATTTAGCCCATACAATTCTGACAGCTTTACACTTCTCAGCGTTGACCCCAAACTAACTCAGCGTGGAAACTCAGCTCTCAAACCAATCTGATTCCCTGAAAGGGCTAGAAAAGAGTAGAGGGAGGACAACACTGCCCAACTTTTACATGAACAATTCACATACAGCTATTTTACAAAGACAAATATGAGAAAAATCCATTCATTCTTAAACAGAAAATCATCATTCCTCTTGACTGCTTAAAGAACAGCTACAGTCAGAATAAAATTCAACACCATCACATTCTGTAAGAGACATAAGCTAAGGAATCAAGCCTCAAGTTTTCACATTCTTTCCTCCTCCCCCCGCCCCTCTTGTTTGTAAGTACCAATTTAGTTTTGCAGGACGTTGTTTCTAAACATTTTGGGTTGAAATTGTTCTTCACAGCAACTAGGAATACAAAAACATGCAGGGGGCTGGGGATATCAACAGAATGAACAAAGACCTGGTGATTCCAGGTGGACTAAAAATTAAATATAATAAAAACTGCACATGTTCCAAGACTCCAAGAAAATGTTCCAAATCTCCTTACACCACGTATGTAGCGTGTCATGTCCCACCTACCCTACCTCTCTGCCACAGAAATAAAGAAAAGAGAGAGGAGTCAGAGGAAAAAAAAAGGAAAATTACTCGCAGTTTAGCTGGAATAGCAAGGAAAAACACTCCTTCCATTTCAGTCATAACATCTGCAAAATCCTGCCAACAAACAAATGTGTCTAGAGAGAGCTTCAGAAGCTCCATCCATGCTGAGCTATGCTTTTATTCCATTCAGACTGTGTGACCATGCCAAATTGAAGTAATTTTCAGGCTAACTTTAGGAGAAATGTGTAAGATGGTACAGTGTACCTGTAGTAGTATCTGAGGACCTTGTGTCTCTAGGTTATGGAGATCAAAATGAATCTGTGGTATATTTTTCTCTCTATCAGCTGCTTCATAGCTGTGCAGCAACACTTCAGTAGTACTGACACAGTTACTACCCACTGGTAGCCACCATCCTGAGGCTACTGACTTAAGGGAAAGCAAGGGATGACCAGGGTCTCAGAAGTCATAAGACACACCCTTAACCACATGGCCAGACACAAGTGCCCTTGTTTGAATACTGCCAGTTCTGAGGTGAAAGAAACAGGAGTTCAACTCCTTCTGTTGACAGTACTCAGCGGTCCACTCAGTACTAAAATTTGGCTCAGTTACAAAGAGCATATAAATTCACTGGATAAACTGGGAAGGAGCTCTCATGAGCCACGTTTAATCAACATGTTGTTAGTTTTTAGGTCAGCTTGCTAAAAACAGTAACAAAAGAAAAGGAAAAAAAAAAAAAGAAAAAAAAAGAGAGGAAAAAAATAACTCTCCTGCAGAGATTGTCACAAATCAGAAATTTGACTCACATATCCTATATCAGAACAAATGGTCCAGAAAGGATTAAAACCTAAGCTCAACAGCCACAAAAAATACAGTTATCATCAGAAAAATATAGTTATCATCAGGCAAGGGAATTATTACATGTGACTTGTATGTTCTTCTTCAGAAAGATGACTAAGAAACACAAATTCAGATTTCGTTTCTGAACAAGTCACATTTCCTTGTGCAGTATGCATACAATACTATTGGTCATGTATAAAGACAAATCTAAGAATATCAGTGTGCTAGCTTTGACTGGGATAATTTTCTTCACAGTGACTGGTATAGGGCTCTGTTTTGGATTTGTGATGAATACAGGGTTGATATCATAAAGATGTTTTTGTTATTGCTGAGCAGAGCTTGCAAAAGCCAAGGTCTTTTCTGCTTTGCGTACTGCCATGATGGCAAGGAAGTTGAGGGTGCTTGGGAGAGGACAAAAGAGGATGGCATTTATCACATCTTTAATGTGAAACAGCACAAGACAGCTGAACGTTTTTTGAGAGCAGAAGTAACAAGTATCACACATGCAGGTGTGTTCAAGTTTTGGGTTCCTCTCATGTACAAATAGGCATTCGTCCCATTTCCCCACTACTGATAAGCAACGACTATAAAATTTGTGGAAGTTCCTACAACAAGCTGAAGTTCCTGGCTCGCCACATGAAGGAGAATCATCCTTCTCGTGAACTATGTTTACTACTTGCAGAAGTACAAAGTGACATGCAGATCAAAAGGAACATTACCTGCAGATCCATGCTGCGAGAACTTGCAACCCAGTAATTGAAACCCAAAACAATTATGCACGCCACGAGAGCAGCCACGAGGAGTGGTGGAGACTTCATCCCGCGACAGCTGTTTCCAAGTCCTACCATTTCAAGAAGAGAACAAATCTGAAGAATCACAGCAAGTACGGAAACTTGCAAATTAAAAAGGGCACATTGTACTGCATCCCAAACTACAGCTATTTTATACATACAATAATGTATAATACAGCCTATCAGCTGACTGCAAACAGTAATGCAACAGCTGTCAGCTGATAGGCTTAACACCCAGCAAGGAAGGTAAATGTACTAGTGTTGACCTGTCTAGATATTTGCATCTGAAAGACAAAGAAAGGTCATCTTAGCATATACACTATTAGCTTGTACATAAAGCCTCACGCGCTCTTGAGGGAGATGTCTTGAATGCTCCTAACAATATAATGCAAATCTGCAATAAACAGAACCAGCCATTTTTTTATCATACATCTACCCAAAAATCCATGCAGACAACACTGGGGGAGAGAATAGATTGCTTTTTACCTAATTTACTAAGAAAATTAATTTAGTCTTGCTGTTTGAAGAGTAATTCGCTTTGAAGAGTAACTTGCTTTCTAAAATTGGACTATTTCAACTTATTCCATCTGGCACTACTATTCTAACTTCTTATTCCTGAGCCTGTAAATAAATATGTAAATAAGACTGAACCAAATTATTTAAAGGAGAACCTAAAAATAACAATTATTATAAATATAAGCAGACACTCCACTGATTTCAATGTTACGTGGCATTAAGTGGTCTCCATTTTGATGCCCAGCTGCTTTCTCTGCTCCTAAAGAAAATAAATCATGAATTAGCAGTACCAGGGATACTACTGGTTGTTATTGAGATTTGTGTTATTTCTGTGAAACAGACCATCTTAAAAGATAGGCAGGGGCAAAGGGTAGCTGCAATTCTCTTTGAAATAAGCTACATCGATTTTATGGTGTGGTGATATCTGGTCTTAATAAGCCTAATGGCACCTAGCTTCATTAATCCTTAAACTCCAAGAAATCTTGGCTGCAGTTTGTAGAAGATTGCTTCCTTGTAAACTGAGATTAACTTTTTTCTTTCTGCACTCCAGCAGTCAAAAGACAGAAAAAATAAGCACAGAAGATGAGGCAGTCAGCAAATATATATGCATCATAAGACACTAGTTAAATCCAAAATGTATACATTTACTAGTAATATATTGTACAAGCTCTCAAGGTACATATTTTTAAGAGAAGCAACCTCTTCCCTACTATTGCAACACACAAGTGGCAATGTTTTAAAAATTAATAAATGGTAGCAACTCTCAAAGGATTTACATGTGAACATACACTGTAAGCACAGGGGAAGAATGTGATGCCAGCATTTCGCAGGTCCCAGAAATGCAAATTCTATTGTACATCCAGCACTTAAGTCCTTCAACAGCTCACCTATACCTCAGTGTCCACATGCATTCTCTGCAAAATTCCCTCTCTGCAGTCAAGATAGATTATAACTTCTCATTTCTCAGCAGACAGTGCATAATACTGTCAGATTCACAAAGGTTTCAAATCTGTGTGTTCATTTGAAAAGGTTCCTAATTTGAATTTGAGGGTGGAACATACAGAGCATATAAGAGTAAAATGCAGCTTCCTGAAAATGTTGCCTCTTCATAAACACCCATGCACACCACAAAACAATCCAATGAAGTCTAACACCTGAGACTTGAGTTTCTTGCCTAAAGGAAAACTCAGCTAAGGCACAAAGGGACACATGCAGCACAGCTCCAGAGGACACCCACAGGGCCACATACAGATAAGCAAGGTCAACACTAAGAAGCAAAGGCAAGGAAAGGAACCATATTGTTTGGATTTTTTTTTCTTGTAATGCAAAAAATTAACATGCAGTAGATTAAAACACACTTGAATTGCAGAAACACATACATCTTGCACAGACTATTATCCTACTGTGTCATCCTAAAAGAAGCACCTGAGAAGTACAGAGCCACCATGTCTTACACATGACCCCTGAAAACCAAGAACCCCCAATCTCCAGAGCAGCAAAAATGAGAGCACAAAGGGCACGATGGAGTTAGCACTGCCATCTCAGCAAAGAACAAGAGAATCTATTTACTTTTGCATACCAGAATACAATACTGTATTTCAAAAAAGGTCTGTCAGAACCCATTATGAAGTCATCTGTATCTTGTTTGCTGTAATAGTAGGTTCACTTGACAGATGGAAAAACTACAAAGAGCACTGCCAAGATGCAGTGATTCATTCTAAGTGTGACTTGAATAAAATAACTGGTATTTTCCTCATAGCTGTCAGAAATAGAGAAAACAGTTCACATTATCAGCAGTAACAGCTTGCACTGTAGTTATCTACTAGATAAATATATGGGACTAGCTGTTTAGCTCAAAAATTTTCAGAGGTAAAGCAACCATATTGTTCAAGGAAAGAATGATGAGTTCTCCATGCAGCTTAAAGCACAGGCACAAAACCATGCTAAAAAATGCCAATACACCTAAATAGTAGACAAATCCGGCAGCATCAGCACCTTTTCTGCTGTTTTCACCTGTTAAAAACAAAGAGGCAAATAAGTGCTGGTTTCACTAAAGCATGTTTGACTTCAGTACATTGCTCTTTCTAGAAAAGAGCAGTGTTGTTTATCCATAAATCATTTATATTAATTAGGAATATATTTTTATACTGAACAGAAGGAAAAGCAAAACAAAGAAGAAAGGCATGAAAGACACAGAAGGCTCTTCTGTTCACACACTGCAGACCCAAAACTTTACCTCAGCTGCAATATCAATATTCCCTCTCTAGTTAGTTTAAAAAATAAAAATTGTTTAACTTTCTGCCATGGGTACACATACTCACATAGTTTGGAAGAGAGATAAGCAAATCAGCTCAATAAGCACATCTACATGAAAACCTGTTTGCACATGCTGTTTTCCGGGAAACATCTGCTCTGGCACAGTTATTTGAGTTGGATTTCAAATAAGTTCCTGATCTTATGGGTAAGAAAGTAATTTTACTGAAGATGAAATCCAACAATGTCCATGGCAGATGTAAAAATAAGCATATTCGTAAAATTCCTGACTTCTGAACAGAAGATTCCATTCTTCTGTTTTTCCAATCTAGTGGTGCTTCATTGAGGAGATGTTTTAGACTGAGATATTCAAGAAAATTAACACAAAGCATACTTTTACTTCCCACAGTAAGTAATTCTTTCTTTTTACAGTACTCAGCTGAAGTAGGATATCTGGTATCCAGCAATCTTTTACTACAGATAAGCGGCAACGTTGCCAACCAAGCCCCAAGACCAATACACTAAAGACAAAACAAAATGGTGCATTTCAGAGTCCCAGAAGGAAAGCCAAGTCTCTCTACTCACCAGGGTTGAGCTCTGTGTACTTCCTTAAGACCCACCAAGCAGAAACAACCAGAAAAGGTGAAAAATTCAATAGACACACAGCAGACAGTGTAGGAAAAATGTTCCCTTACCCCCCACCAGCACACCTGCCTACCAACCACCTCCTCCACCATCCAGCCACTGCGTGGTACAAAGCCAGTATAAGCCAGAGCAGCATCTAAGGACAGACCACAGGCAAAGCATCCACCAAAAATTGAAGGCACAGCTTCTTGGAGGTCTGAGTACTTGCAACTCTGAGTAAGGACAAAGCCTTACTGAAGCCCCTGCAAAAACCAGACACAAGAGACAAAAAAAGAGAAAAAAAGAAGAAGTCCCAACAAGGACCTAAGGGCTAATGCACAGCATAGAGGTCACACAATCCCATCCCAACCAGACTGGACCAGAACGGGGAAACTTCTTCCATACCAAGGGAGCCCCTCAGACAGTGGTGCTTTCCTCACCTATTGCAAACTCTTTTCCAACCTCCCAGTGAGCTTCTGGAAGAAATCACTGTGGTTTTTTCCACTATTATCATGAAATTCCTATGTCTCAATGCCTGAATTAAAGCACAGTGTATTAACCAAACAAATTAAACAAAACTTCTTCAATTGACAATTTAGTTAGGTATACCCAGATACAACTAAATCAGACTAAAAGGTATTAGAACTTGAATTTTGTTTTAAAAATAATTAAATGAAACTGGAAAAAAAAGTAATTCTTAAAACAGTGAATCAGAGAGCAAACATTTGTGTGCCCGGTTTTCCAAAAATAAAGGTGACCATTTTTTTGAGTGGGCGGAAATGGAGTGCAGAAAAAAGTGAGTCAAAACCTTTCAGTTTTCATCTTATAAATGGTTAATACACAGTAGTGATTATCTTTGAAAGATAAATCCAGCTTGTTCTTACTCACAGCAGGATCTTACTTACAAGTACCACTATTCACAGCCCCATGGTGAGAACCAGCTATAGCCAGCAGCAACCTTTACGCTTTCAAAGTTGCACAGACACCCTGTACACAGGGCTCAAGGAACTGTACACAGTCACAAAACAGAGCATACAGATTTCTTATCATCGTCCACAGCAACACTGTCTGAGAGGTTCTTCCTTTCAAATCTGCAAGTTAAAAAAAAATCAAACAAATATTTTTCCATTGGAGATTTAAAGTTTGGGCACTGAACTCAAGCCGGCTGACCACAAACTTCCTATATGCCTTTCACAGGGATTTACAAATTGCAGGAAAAAAAGAAAAGAAAAAACACCCTGAGACATTCAGCAACAGCCGCTACTCAAACGTCTATGCTTTGGATGAATGTCACAGAGTCACTGTTCACCAAAATTATCAAGATACACTCTTTACAAGAAGGGAACGGCATTTCCACCACAACACATTCAGCAACTCCACTCTCATCCTGCTCAGGAATAACCATTTATTTGATAGTCAATTCAGGTGTCAGGTCTTCCTTTTCTAAAGCATTCTAAAATAGAAGCAACAGATTAGAAAACTATGAAAACCCTAAAAATACACTATCTGTCCAAGGATAGGGTCATTGTTACCACTTGTTCACTAATCATATTTCAGCTCAAGAAGTCTCTCCTCTTTCAAATGACTGCTTTACAAGAAGCTAACAGCCAAATACCCTCAATGCCCTTTATCTGATTAAAGAGAATTCCCAAACAGGTATGTGGCAAAACAGAAGCTAGAGGTTTAAAGTAGGTATCTATCCCAATGACAGAAGTTGGCTAACTGAAAATAACTTGATAAAATGTTCTAGAATACCTGGACATGTTGGCCAGGTGAAGTTTTTGATAGCAGTATTACCACTGAAAATAATGTGTATGAAAACAAAATTAAACAAGCAAACTTATATACCTGAACTATCTCAAGAGTTAGTCAGACCACTCACTTATTTTTATGTATATATTTTGTTGCTGGTATATTTCCCATACAACATGAACCAGCTTTTTAACATCACAATTAACAGGACACCCACCTATCTTAAATGGAGATTATGAAACAGAGTTACAGTAAGTTTAGATTTTTGATTAAAAACTCAGTAAATTGCTACCACTTCCCCACCACTACAAAACTACACATATGGTTTAACTGCAAAACATGGAGACCTCCCACTAAGAGTGAAAAAAAAATTCCACTATATAAATAGTTCTTCAAAAGCAAAGTGCTGTCAAGACATAAGATGAAAGGTCATTCAAAAAAAAGTCAATTCAAGACCAAGATTTTCTAAAAACATGATCAACTCCTATCTTCATGCTGACAAGGGAATCCTATGAAGTAAAACAACTCAAACTTCCTGCGTGTAGGCGATAAACACAGCGCCCACTGTGTACCCAATATCCGAACTAAAATTTCTGAAGAGGTAGGGGTAACACTTTTCCAAGCAGAGGCGGGAAGGCCTCTGGAGGCGCGAACTTTTCCAAGTCCCTGAGCAGCGGTAAGGCCTCCGCAGCCCTGCCCGCGGGGAGGGAAAGCAGGGCTAGCTCGGAAGGAAGAGGAGGATGGTCAGCAATCTCAGGTCACCAGCCCGGCTGCCACAAACCAGGGGAGGCCACCTAGTCCGACCCTTCCCGGGCAAGGTGGCCGGGAGGAGGTATCTCACATCTGCGTTGATTTCGAATATTATTATTTCTACCTCCGCTGCGAATATTCAGAGATGTTTCCGGCTCAAGACCCTTCAGAGGGAAGGCTGGCTGAAGAAACAAGGAAACGCTATCAGTGTCCGGCAAGTTAAGCCGGCCCGGTACCTCTGTGAGCACTGCCGGCGGCGAACGGCGAGTGCCCGCGGCACGGAGCCCGCGCGGGGCCGCCCCTCACCGCCCCCACGGCCGCCCGCCGCACACGCCCCGCGCCGGGGCCGCCGCTCGTCCCCCACCACCGCCGCCGGCCGAGCCGAGCCGAGCCGAGCCGAGCCCAGCGGGGCACAGCCGCGGCCCGGCGCCTCGCACCCCGCACCCCGCCCGGCGGCCTCACCTCACTGTGCCGCCAGCTGCGACCCCGCCAAGCAGAACACCAAAAGCCACTCCGTCGCCTCTCGTTACCCCCGCCGCCCGCGGCAAAGAAGAGCGGCGGCAGGAGGCCGGCAGGGCGGGGCGCAGGGCCGATCCCGCCCCTCGCCATCCAGCCCCCTCGCCGTCCCGCTGGCGTCTCCGGCCGAGAAGTGCCCTGAGCTGACTGTCTGCACCGGCCTGTGCCACCCTGCGCCCTCCGCCCGAGCGCTCGTTCCTTCACCAGCGCTTCTGGTGAGTTACAGATTTCCTGTTTTGACCACAGGAGCTTCAGTTCTGGAAAGCGGCACCTAGGCGAAGCTGAGTGTCCCAAATCAGAGGTGGAGCGGCAGAAAACTCAGGAAGGCTGTTTCAATACCTATTTTTGACAGCCATATGGATGATGCCAGTATTTTCTTCATTTTAAAAGAAGAAAAGTTATTCAGTCTGTTTATTACATGGTTGCCATTAACTCAGCTGGAGTTTCCACCATCTAGGTAGAATCATAGAATTGTTTAGCTTGTAAGGAGCTTTAAAGACCATCTAGTTCTAGACCATGGGCCTAGAACCTCTTCCACTAGATCAGGATGCACAAAGCCGTGTTCCAAACCAGCCTTGAACACTGACAGGAGTGACACATCCACAACTTCTTTGGGTAACCTGTTCCAGTTACTCACCACTCTCACAGTAAATAATTTCTTTCATAATTTGATGATTTGTGATGATTTCCTTTCTAAATTTCCGTTCTTTCAGTTTGAAGCTGTTCCCCTTGTCACATCAATGCAGTTTCTAATGAGGAGACCCTCTCCAGCTTCCCTGTAGGCCTCTTTCAGGTACTGGAAGGCTGCAATGACATCCACACAATCTTCTTTTTTGCAGCCGCAACTTTTTCAACCCAATCTGCGTGTTGCTTCTGCATTTTAGCTTTTGCAAGTGGAAGTTTAAAAAGCAGAATCTAAGCAGTATAGAAAATCTAGTCAAGCAGCAATTGTAGGTGCTGAAAAAAGCAAAATAATTTTTATATATATATATATGTAAATTTCTACCTGAAGAAAGACCACAAACTTAACAAAAGCAACCTTCTACGTATCAAAACATAATGCCAAATATGAGGTTTTCTTCCCATCTTTGAAGACTGTTTAAAAGTTGATCAAGGTATATTATATATTTATTTTTTAAAACAACTCATACAATAGCTTTGTCTAGACCAGAACTGGAAAATTTTCTTACAAGTACACAATGGATCACATCCCACTAGTTAGGGAATTAATTGACTTCCAAGTGGGATCTGAAATATTAATAAAAAAGGTATCATTATCTTAAAAAATAAATAGCCATGCATTTTAACAAAGAACTAACAAAAACACAAGGGCACATCTACATATGTTACCATGCAGAAAAATTAAGGGTCTTAGCATGGTCTCTTGGGACCAGTACTAGAAGCAATGTACTACAGCCCCTGAAAAGTCTAGAAGTAAAGCAATTAGCAGAAGTCTTCTGGAGGTGTATCTCCTGAGTTGTTTATATCTGAAAGAGAAGGGGCAACTCTCAAAAGTTTGTGGAAAAAATAGATTACCTTGAACTATACTTTATTTAATAACATGCTGCCTTTTTTTTTTTTTGCCAAATGGTAAGCTAGACAAATCAAATTCTTCTTACTCTTTCACTAAAAACCATATCTAACTAGAAAATCCAATACTACTTCTTTTCCCTCAAAACTACTGACATTGTTCTGGTAGAATATAATTGTTAAAACAGTTCACAGAACCACGGAATTGTGAGAGCTCTGGATATCATCCAGTTCAACCCAAACTGTGTCCAGAGAGCTGCTGCCACACATGCCCAGAGATTTCTAGGTCTTGCTTATTCCCCACACTCTCTGCATTTGTGTACAGGCACATCAGGGAGGTAATCTAGCACCTAGGGTCCCTAGGAGAGGTGAAACAGGATTCCCCATAACAATACACACCCTTGATCTGAATAGCCTTATGATTCTCATTTGAGAGGAGGCCAAGGTAGCACTGGTTGGCATGGCCCACTCTCAAGGAAGAAGTAAAGGCATAAGCATTGCCACTTTGGACCCCACAAGCCATTCAGGGTAAAGCTTATCTCACCAAACTGACCAGTCTGCTGCCAAAGATTTTCTTTCTCTTTTTAGACAAGTGGATCCCATCTCTCCCTAAAAGGCTACAGTCATTGATGTTCAATCCATTTGTAAAAAAGCCAAAGCCTTCTTGATGGCACCAGAGATGAAGCCAGACATTGATCTGCACTATGCCTCTACTTCTGCCTTCTTCAGTTGTGAGATTACCCTCTGGACGCCCATGTAAAAATTAATTTCAGAAAGTCATTTTCAGATAGCAGACGAACTAAAATTCAAACTATTCAAGAAAGACATTAGTCATGTGTTGGTGAGAGTAAAGTCAAGTGTTTTACTATACTATTACTTCTAAAGATCCCAAGAAACAGGAGTCTAACTTCCCGTAGTGAAAATGGAGTTCAATGTTTAACACATTCTCTTTTTTCTACATAGCACTAACTTAAATTGCCAGACATCTTTGTCTACCTTCTTTATCCGTGCAATGTCATGCATTGTAGAGTTTGAGGATTTCACTAAGTCAGAGCTAAATGCCAAAACCAAAGAGGGCTGGGATGCTGAAGACAGCAGCTGAAAGATGGATGATGTCCTCTGCTGCTGTCTTCTGTTTTCAAAGGCGGACACCTGAAATCCATGTTACATTCTTCAGAGGTACTGAGCATATTACAGGATCTGAAAGATCACATCTGCATCAACTTTCTCAATAGCAGACAAAAAGTAATATATGGGATTTCTCTTCCTCTGCACAACATGTGTGCATGTCCATTTTTAGTGTGTGGTGATTTCTGGGCACATTCAAGGTCTAACCTATCATCAAAAAAACCTTATAGGCCACCCATCTACTGAATGTCAAATTATGGCCTACATTTTTCAGGATGTGCACTTTAGTGATGTCATTTGGCCTTGAAAATATATATCCAAAAAATCTTGAAGTAAAATGAGTGCAGGCTGAAAAAGCTGAAGCTATCAAATGGAATCCTACTGCAGTCATGCTTTACTGAAGCCCAGACAATGATAAGGGGTTTTCTTTTCTTGTCACAGATTCTGTGTGCTTTCTCTGAGCAATTCTGAATGGTGCCCCTGGGCTTAACTTGTGCAAATGGCAACACTTTTCTGGCTTCTTCAGGTCTGCAGAAGTTGCCTCAGTGTCAGTTCTCTTGCTTAATTACACTGCCTCATTCAGAGAAAATGCCCAATGTGCTCTGATATGCAAACAAAGAGCTTCATGAAAAATCCTGACAAGCTGTAGGAATTACAGTTAGGCAGGCTAGTCTTGCCAGGACAAAATCAACATCTACTGTAAGAGCAATAAAATGCCGCCTTAGAAAAGAACATGTTGACTTGGAGAGCTGGATCTTTACCAGATGACTTGTCAGCTTCACTGATTGGCTTCTTTTCCTTCTTTTTCTCTCTGTGTCTTTGGTATTTTGGCAGCTAACTTGTCCTATCCTGGGAAATAGGCTTTTCATTCATGAGATGCCTCTAAATGTTGCTTTAGGAGGTTTATTGGTTGATGTTAATCTTCCGTATTGGTTGATACCATTTTCTTGGGAAAAGTATTACCTGCAGGCAATGGCTGTATTCACTCTTGGTGGTTCACCTTGGATGTCTGTGGAGTCAGAATTAAGTCAACCTTTTCTCTTCAAAAATTGTAAATAAAAGAGTAAGACCCTTCTCTTCAAGCTCTTTTGGCTTCCATATGTGTAAGCCAGTAAGAGGAATGGAGCACATTATTTTCTCTAGTTGTTATATTGATGGACAGCCTTCTATCATATCAGTTGCATATGCAATGAAGGATGCCAGTTTTGCAAGCATTTGCTACAACCTTGTGTATACGAGTACAGTCCCATGCATGGGTTACAGGCCAAACCTGGTTTTCCTGGAGCATGGGCTGGTATTTGTAAAACTTAGGACTATTTGACTGGAATTCATAAAGTGAAGGATATAGCCTGACTTCTGCTGTGCAATTACAGAGCAAATCAGTCTTCTCTGTTCTTCAGTGAGTCAGAGCAATAATGCTGTTTTTACCTAATGAGAGCACTGAAAGGCTTAACTTATTAGGGATAGCACATGGCTAGTCCAATACATAAAACAGAGTTTAAAGTTGAAAAAATTCTCTCTGGGTCTTGAATGTCTACCCAGGAAACAGTGGTATTTTCTAGAAAAACTGTCAGTAATACAAAACCGCAATTCTGCAGCAAAGGGCAGTGTTAATTGACATGGTAACTGAATGCAGTTTTGGCTAACTTGCCTCACTTAGCTTATAGGAAGATAAAACATATAAGGATCATTTTTTCCACTTCTTAGTGCCAGAGTTCACGTTACATAAGAGAATATGGTAATGTAATGATAGACTGTATGTGACTGTATTCTAGCTCCAATGGTGCACAGTATTCTAGCTCCTTGATACAGAGCTCTGATGTTGTTTTGAACAAATGTTTGAGATCACTTAAAAAATCATTGGTGAGGGTATCATCAAAAGCCAGATTTAATATTAAATGACATCATGACAAAGCTCATTGGCAAGATTCACTCAGCTACTTACAGGACAGTTAAGGCACAGCAAAGAACAACAAAACCATACAAAATCCAAAATCAAAAGAGACATGATAGAGAATTCTCTAAGGATGTGTATATGGCCAGGGGTTGGGTGTGTGGGGGTGGGTGTGTGGATATGTTTAGATATGTGTGACAAAGAACAATGAGGGCAAGGATAAAAAGGAACACAACCAAAACCCTTAACAGCACTCAAACTTAATAGTAATTTAACTTAACTTATACCTTAAACTTAATAATTTAAGGTTATTAGTTGGAACAACAACTTAAATTACACCTAACTTAAATGATACTTTAAACTTAATTTATAATTTAACTTTAATAATCTAACAGAAGAATAGGTCTTAGTGGCATTTAACCTAATTTATAACTTCAAAGTTATACTTAGCAACTTAGCAAAAGAGCAACACTTAGCAGCGTTTAAGTAAGGTTAA